GCCCACACATGGGTGGTCCTCTGTAGCTCAGCTGGTAGAGCACGGCGCTTGTAACGCCAAGGTAGTGGGTTCGATCCCTGTGACCACCCATACACAGAAAAAATAAATGTATGCACGCATGACTGTAAGTCGCTTTGGATAAAAGTGTCTGCTAAATTATTAAATTATTATTATTATTTCAAGTGAGAATCCACCCCATCAAAACTACACCTACTGCACACTGTGAGAGGGTTATGGGAGAGGATTGGGCACCTGGCCAAAAAGCATTAGTATTCAGATGATGATCAGTGAGAGCGAGGCAGACACACACACAGAGGAGTGGGGTACCAGGACTGTATGTGTGAGAGCAGAGTGAGCTGGAGGGGGCTTCAATCTCATGGAGAGGAAAAAGAGAGAGGGGAGGATCATCACTGTCTCATTACTGTAGCCTCAGGGCTCTCCACTGTACAAACACACACACACACACATTCACACACACACACATTCACACACACACTTCAGCCGGTGAGAGAACAGGCAGAGAGGGGACCCACTCCAGTCTGTGGAGGTAGCACAATGCTGAGAGAGTCCTCCTGTCTGTCTGTCTGTGGAGGGAGCACAATGCTGAGAGAGTCCTCCTGTCTGTCAGTCTGTCTGGGCTGGGCTGAGGGCTGATAGTGATCAGTGATAGCCCGGTGCTGTCTGTCTGGGCTGAGGGCTGATAGTGATCAGTGATAGCTCTGTGCTGTCTGTCTGGGCTGGGCTGAGGGCTAATAGTGATCAGTGATAGCCTGTGCTGTCTGGCTGGGTGGGAGATGGTTGTCGTCGCGGCCGTGCTGTCTGTCTGTATGCTGACCTGCTTACCTGTTGAGTGCAGCTCCTTGGTGGGCAGTCTGGGCTCTGGACTCTGTCTTTGACATAAGTGGGAAGGATAGACTGCATGCAACACAAAGGGACAGACTGGATACTGAAAACAATATGAGAACAAAGTGGAGAATTTAAGCTGTGAAGTAAGTGTTTTTGTCTGTTTGTTAATTTGTATTGGAAAGTGTGTTTTGAATGTGATATGGAGGGAAAGTGCCTAGGGTTGGTGTGATGGTGATGTCATTCAGTCTGTTTGGTATTGAAGACTTCCTGTCTCGTGTAATGTGATAAACAGTATGTCATATTTATGATCTCAGGGTGGCCCACTGGCTCTGTAACCCAATCACAGCCTGTAACTCCAGCTGTGTGCGTGAATACAGTAAAGCCCAGAGAGGTATCCTACGAAGCAAGCTAGATCTACTCAGGAGTTTCTAAAGCTAAGCAGCTTCAGTTCACATTCCAGCTCAGGCTTCATCCGTACTACGACGGTGGATATTGCTTGTCCGTCTGCCACTAACTCTAGCAGGCTTGGAACTGCGGGTGCACGTCGCACATGGCTAGTCGAACGCCAAACTCTTCATGGAGACAATGCTGAAACATGAATCCATGGGCAAGTCAGTGCCACATTTTAATTTGTGCCGTAATCAAAATGAAAGAAAAGTTATCTTGCAAATTCAGCAGGCTGTGGTGTGAAATAAGCTTGTAAAAGTGCCGTCTTTATTGTATTACTTATTGGGAATGCCATCTTTGGTGTGCTTATCAATGCTCTATCACCTTTTTCCCACTCCTATCCATTTTTTTGTATTTTATTAAGTCATACAAAAGTGTTACATTGCGTGAAGTAAAAAAATGCATTCTGTCATTACTAAATGTGTCAAGTGATATATTTTTAAATGGAAAAATGTGTACACAAAAAAAACATTTGATTAATTAAATATTTAATCAGTCGTCTTCCTCAAATTAAGGGGATGATGACGCAATCTTTCAGAGAGGGAGGGAATCTGATTTAATTGGTCCTCAACTCGCGGCTCAGACGCTTCATTCAGGGTAAGTGGAGTTAGCCCTGAGTTAGCCTGCCCCGGAGCAGGTTAGTTCTGAAGAATTCGTTGCCATAGAAATGTACCTGGCTAAAAGGTGAGCCAACTCCTCAAACTTGCTTCGTAGGATACCCCTCAGAGGAGCAGCTCACTACACAACAAATAAGAAAGCATTGTCATTGGGCTATAATGGTACAAACAGAAAGTATGAGAACATACAGAAAGAATACTTATTGGAGGGAATAAGCATTATTTATGTCCATGTGATTTGGCCCTGGGAAGAAGTGAAGGTCACATTCCTCAGTGCTCTAGGGAGGATAATATACAGTACATCTGCAACATGAAGGGCTGCTACAAAAGGTTGATGACCTCATTATGGAGTTCACTCAGTAGCTCCTGAATAGAAACCATTTGTTGACACAGTTAAAGGCAGCCTGTGATTTAGTTCAGGATCTCTGAGGATAGGAGGACACTGTATATTATTGGCTGAAATCTAGCCAAACACTGTATGCTGTGTGAAAATAAACACCATATTGTTACATGGTGTAGGAGTTGAACCAGAGAGATAGAGGAGTCCAGAATGGGAAAGTGAATTAGTGGTGTGTTGCTGGCTGTGTTGCATGCCCATCCCCCGGAGCTGTGTCTGGTCTGCTGGATCCTGGCTATGAGGGGACTTAGCTAATACAGCAGTGTGGGACCCCTCTGCAAACACAATGTCTGGCAGATAGGAAGAGAGATGGGGAACCTCATTATCTGATCATCTGGTTAAGGAAGCCACCACTTCCCAGAGCAAGATCAACATAAACGATGCTTCAACGTCAAGGATCACAATGCTTTTTCACTGATGGCTGAATGGATGGATGCTGATATGTTTTAAATTATTTGACTTTTATTGAGAATCAGTTGGACATCCAAGCCTATAAGCAAAAACGAATTAAATGCGTTTGAACTACCTTATGGAATGCAAGCTTTTTTGTTACATCTCATCTCTTGACCACTTAACCTCATGCGGATAGGAAGAGAGGCCTCTTCAAACTCTTCGACACACTACTGTGAAACTGCATTGCGTTTGAATAGAGGCGTTTCACACCCTAAATTGTGGTAATTGTGTGCTTCAGACAATAGTCTTAATTATGCTTGAGAGGAATAACACCCTGGAACCGATTGGCATGCAAATGAGCCGGTGAGAAAAGGAAAGGAGGGAGTAAATCTCTGTCACCTCCTTAGCCCTCAGCATTGACTGGCTGCTGCGATATATGATGGAAGTGAAGTTAATGTTAAAGTGAGTGAATGAAGTGTTCTGTTCATTTCCCTCTGTTTCTTTCTCTCTGCAGAAACAATAGAATGTTCCACACTCAGAGAGCGATGACAAAAGAACACTCAATGCTAATGTAAATCAATTTGTTTTTGTTATTGTGGCATATCATGTTTTGGATGTGAGTCTGTGAGCTGCCTTTGAGATTTGAGTGTGTGTGTGTGTTTGAGTACATTCGCGTGTGTGTGTGTGTGTGTGTGTGGAGCACTACTCCGTGCTGTGACCTGCTAATCCAGAGTCCGTCTCCAGCTCCCACATCCTCAGCAGAGTAACACTGGAACAATGAGAGTGAACTTGGCTTGGGTTCACATCAGAGATGTGAAATCACACCCAGCCCAGGCCAGAAGAGCACGCAGCACATGATCACTCTGAGTCAAATGTTTTGCTGGTAGAAGCCAGCAGCCAATAGCTTGCAAACAAACTGGGCAAATTGCACATGCTCAGAGAAACAATTTGACTTCTATGTAATTCTATGTAGGTCCGCTTGTCAGAAAGGTATGTTTTCTTGAATTCCTTTTCATTCGGAACAAATTGATTCAGAAGTGGAATGTTCTTTTCGAGGACAGCTGAAACGACAGAATATAGCGGAAATTGTGTAATTTCTCTGCTGTTTGATTACTCCACTCATTTGAGGGACAGGCACTTGCGTGTCAGAGAGAGAGAGAGAGAGAGAGAGAGACTGTCAAATCCATTGAGAGATTGGTTGTTCAGCTGAATTCCTGACACTCCTCTGGCTTTGAAGCAGCCATGTCATTACACACGACTGGCTTCAGAGGTTTGGGCTGCTAGCCTGGAATGTGCCTGTCAAACTCCCTCTTTACGCTGAATCTGAATATAAATGTATAGCTGTTCCGCTTTATGATGTAAAAAAAAAAACACACCTTTCTAAATATATCAACTAAGTTTTATATTTTATGCCTGTTTGCTTTTAACAGCTTTCTTGTTTGACACCAAGTGTAGTGGTGCTATATGTGTGTTAAGGGTTTCTGCTTATGAAACGGTTTTAAAATATGGCTCTGTCAGCTTGTTAGGGTTTTTAAGAGTGCTAAGGGACTGGCTGCCTTTCTGTCGTAAAGCTATTTTTGTCAATTGAATGTCACTGGAAAGTGGAGAGATATTGGCATGTCCAGGGGGCTGGATTGGCTTTATGCGTAATGTTGATGTTTTCTTCTGAGTTAGTGAGTCAGCCCTTTAAAGCTTGACCCCTGACCCGGGGACGTGACCCTGAACAACCCTTTTAAGGCAAAGCAGGGGAAAGAAAATGAGCCTCAGTGGAATGTACAAATTAGATTGGCTCAGGAAAACCCACCAACATGTGTCCTCCTGGGCTTGTTGTCTTTACAAATACCCCCAAACATACACATTATCCACCTGGCAAAATAAGGCTGACTGAGCAGTTGGTTTGGGCAAATGTGGGTTTAAAGCACTTCTTTGGTTAGCTGTTCCTAGATCATGTTAAAAGCTGAAGATTGTTTGAACGTCTCAGAGGTAAAGCTGTTCTGAGATCTGTTCTGAGATCTGAGGCTTACCTTCCTGTGTTTGAAGGACCTCACAGGTTCTGTTCTGTTTTATCAGCTCTGACTTGGCTGTCTTGATGGTGACTCAGAAGCAGAAGTGGTGTTTGAAGTACTTCCCAGGTTACTCCCCTCTGTGGCTGTTCTGAGGGTGGGTGTGTTTGTGTGCGTGTGAGGCCGCTCCCCTTAGTGTGTGTGTGGCTGGCTGGCTGGCTGCAGGGGGAGAGATCAGTCAGTCAGTCAGTCAGTGTGCTCTAGAGGAGAACTGAGCAGGACAGTGGAAGTGTACACATGAAGCTCTCCGTCAGTCAGTCAAACTTCAGCGGCTTCCCTCAGCGAGCTCCCAGCAGCTCCTACTGCTGCGAGTGGATACCACCCTGGGCTGCTTCTGCTGCTGGCTCTATCAGGTATGGACAGACAGACAGACAGACAGACCAGAGTTGCCTTTTGCTCACTATCATTTTCTTGTTTGTGGGAGAGAGAATAGGAATCTTTATTTGTGGTGTTGTGTATCTATAAATTGTGTGTGTTTGTTGGAGTTTTGGTTTGAATTTAAAAACCGGTACATTTCTTATACATTTTTTAAATGGATTCTTTTAACATTTAGTAAATGTGTGACAAAACCTTTAAAGGAGCTCCTAAAATGGAAAATCTAATCAAATCAAATCACATTTTATTTGTCACATGCGCCGAATACAACAGGTGTAGACCTTATCGTGAAATGCTTACTTACAAGCCCTTAACCAACAATACAGTTCAAGAAATAGAGTTAAGAAAATATTTACTAAATAAACTAAAGCTAAATGTCATAAAATAAACTAAATGTCATTCCTTCTTGAATGTAGTGCATCCCTTAATGTTCCTATTCATGCATGCAAATTGTCCTTAAACAGTGGTGTTTTTTTAAGTGGTATGTTTTAAGCGCTTCTTTGTTGAGTGCAGTACAGACAATGTTTGCAGAGAGCTTGGTCTTTGCCTGGGGCTGGTTTCTCTCTAATGTCTGTCTGCTCTGGTGTAATGGCAGACAAGCTTTTTTATGTCAGCAACGACCTATTCTAAAATACACTCTGTCCAGAGTAGTATTGTGTTATCAAATGTTTGTTACAAACATTATTTGGTTAGTTAAACGATCCAATGTGTAGTTGTTGTTGTTTTTTATTCCAAGAAAATAGAGAACTCTTGTGTGGCACAGTTTTTTCTGTGTAATGACTTGACCAACTTGGAGTTAGGTGTTCATTGCTTGGCAACAGCTTTGAATATTGCTGAGGGGGTGAGAAGACTAGTAGAACTAATGGATTGCCACCCTGACCAAATAAAATCAAATTGTATTTGTCACAGGCGCCGAATACAACAGGTGTAGACCTTACAGTGAAATGCCTACTTACAAGCCCTTAACCAATAATGCCGTTTTAAGAAAAATAAGTATTAAGAAAGTATTTACTAAAATAAACTGATGTAAAAAATTAAAAAGAAGAACAATTTTGAAAATAACAAATATTTAAAGAGCATCAATAAAATATAATAATAATAATATGCCATTTAGCAGACGCTTTTATCCAAAGCGACTTACAGTCATGTATGCATACTTTTTTACATATGGGTGGTCCCGGGGATCGAACCCACCACCCATGGCATTACAAGCACCATGCTCTACCAATTGAGCTACAGAGGACCACAACAGTAATAGGCTATATACAGTGGGGGAAAAAAGTATTTAGTCAGCCACCAATTGTGCAAGTTCTCCCACTTAAAAAGATGAGAGAGGCCTGTAATTTTCATCAAAGGTACACGTCAACTATGACAGACAAATTGAGATTTTTTTTCTCCAGAAAATCACATTGTAGGATTTTTAATGAATTTATTTGCAAATTATGGTGGAAAATAAGTATTTGGTCACCTACAAACAAGCAAGATTTCTGGCTCTCACAGACCTGTAACTTCTTATTTAAGAGGCTCCTCTGTCCTCCACTCGTTACCTGTATTAATGGCACCTGTTTGAACTTGTTATCAGTATAAAAGACACCTGTCCACAACCTCAAACAGTCACACTCCAACCTCCACTATGGCCAAGACCAAAGAGCTGTCAAAGGACACCAGAAACAAAATTGTAGACCTGCACCAGGCTGGGAAGACTGAATCTGCAATAGATAAGCAGCTTGGTTTGAAGAAATAAACTGTGGGAGCAATAATTAGGAAATGGAAGACATACAAGACCACTGATAATCTCCCTCGATCTGGGGCTCCACGCAAGATCTCACCCCGTGGGGTCAAAATGATCACAAGAAAGGTGAGCAAAAATCCCAGAACCACACGGGGGGGCCTAGTGAATGACCTGCAGAGAGCTGGGACCAAAGTAACAAAGCCTACCATCAGTAACACACTACGCCGCCAGGGACTCAAATCCTGCAGTGCCAGACGTGTCCCCCTGCTTAAGCCAGTACATGTCCAGGCCCGTCTGAAGTTTGCTAGAGTGCATTTGGATGATCCAGAAGAAGATTGGGAGAATGTCATATGGTCAGATGAAACCAAAATAGAACTTTTTGGTAAAAACTCAACTCGTCGTGTTTGGAGGACAAAGAATGCTGAGTTGCATCCAAAGAACACCATACCTACTGTGAAGCATGGGGGTGGAAACATCATGTTTTGTGGCTGTTTTTCTGCAAAGGGACCAGGACGACTGATCCGTGTAAAGGAAAGAATGAATGGGGCCTTGTATCGTGAGATTTTGAGTGAAAACCTCCTTCCATCAGCAAGGGCATTGAAGATGAAACGTGGCTGGGTCTTTCAGCATGACAATGATCCCAAACACACCGCCCGGGCAACAGTGGAGTGGCTTCGTAAGAAGCATTTCAAGGTCCTGGAGTGGCCTAGCCAGTCTCCAGATCTCAACCCCATAGAAAATCTTTGGAGGGAGTTGAAAGTCTGTGTTGCCCAGCGACAGCCCCAAAACATCACTGCTCTAGAGGAGATCTGCATGGAGGAATGGGCCAAAATACCAGCAACAGTGTGTGAAAACCTTGTGAAGACCTACAGAAAACATTTGACCTGTGTCATTGCCAACAAAGGGTATATAACAAAGTATTGAGAAACTTTTGTTATTGACCAAATACTTATTTTCCACCATAATTTGCAAATAAATTCATAAAAAATCCTACAATGTGATTTTCTGGATTTTTTTCCTCATTTTGTCTGTCATAGTTGACGTGTACCTATGATGAAAATTACAGGCCTCTCTCATCTTTTTAAGTGGGAGAACTTGCACAATTGGTGGCTGACTAAATACTTTTTTCCCCCACTGTACAGGCGGTACCGGTACAGAGTCAATGCAAATAGTCCATTTGATTAGCTGTTCAGGAGTCTTATGGCTTGGGGGTAGAAGCTGTTAAGAAGCCTTTTGGACCTAGACTTGGCGCTCCGGTACCGCTTGCGGTGCGGTAGCAGAGATAACAGTCTATGACTAGGGTGGCTGGAGTCTTTGGCAATTCTTAGGGCCTTCCTCTGACACCGCCTGGTATAGAGGTCCTGGATGGCAGGAAGCTTAGCCCCAGTGATGTACTGGGCCGTACGCACTACCCTCTGTAGTGCCTTGCGGTCGGAGGCCGAGCAGTTGCCATGCCAGGCGGTGATGCAACCAGTCAGGATGGTCTCGATGGTGCAGCTGTAGAACCTTTTGAGGATCTGAGGACCCATGCCAAATCTTTTCACTCTCCTGAGGGGGAATAGGCGTTGTCGTGCCCTCTTCACGACTGTCTTGGTGTGTTTGGACCATGATAGTTTGTTGGTGATGTGGACACCAAGGAACTTGAAGCTCTCAACCTGCTCCACTACAGCCCCGTCGATGAGAATGGGGGAGTGCTCGGCCTTCCTTTTCCTGTAGTCCACGATCATCTCCTTTGTCTTGATCACATTGAGGGAGAGGTTGTTATCCTGGCACCACACTGCCAGGTCTCTGACCTCCTCCTCTCATCATTGTCGGTGATCAGGCTTACCACTGTTGTGTCGTCAGCAAACATAATGATGGTGTTGGAGTCGTGCTTGGACATGCAGTCATGGGTGAACAGGGAGTACAGGAGGGGACTGAGCACGCACCCCTGAGGGGCGCCCATGATGAGGATCAGCGTGGCAGATGTGTTGTTACCTACCCTTACCACCTTGGGGCAGTCCGTCAGGAAGTCCAGGATCCAGTTGCAGAGGGAGGTGTTTAGTCCCAGGGTCCTTAGCTTAGTGATGAGCTTTGAGGGCACTATGGTGTTGAACGCTGAGCTGTAGTCAATGAATAGCATTCTCACGTAGCTGTTCCTTTTGTCCAGGTGGGAAAGGGCAGTGTGGAGTGCAATAGAGATTGCGTCATCTGTGGATCTGTTGGACCGGTATGCAAATTGGAGTGGTCTAGGGTTTCTGGGATAATGGTGTTGATGTGAGCCATGACCAGCCTTTAAAAGCACTTCATGGCTACAGACGTAAGTGCTACAGGTCGGTAGTCATTTAGGCAGGTTACCTTGGTGTTCTTGGGCACAGGGACTATGGTGGTCTGCTTGAAACATGTAGGTATTACAGACTCGGTCAGGGAGAGGTTGAAAATGTCAGTGAAGACACTTTCCAGTTGGTCAGCGCATGCTCGGAGTACATGTCCTGGTAATCCATCTGGCCCTGCGGCCTTGTGAATGTTGACCTGTTTAAAGGTCTTACTCACATGAGCTACGGAGAGCGTGATCACACAGTCATCTTGAACAGCTGATGCTCTCATGCATGCTTCAGTGTTGCTTACCTCGTGCATAGAAGTAATTTAGCTCGTCTGGTAGGTTTGTGTCACTGGGCAGCTCGTGGCTGTGCTTCCCTTTGTATTCCGTAATAGTTTGCAAGCCCTGCTACATCTGACGAGCGTCGGAGCCGGTGTATTAGGATTTCAATCTTAGTCCTGTATTGACGCTTTGCCTATTTGATGGTTTGTCAGAGGGCATAGCGGGATTTCTTATAAGCGTCCGGGTTAGAGTCCCGCTCCTTGAAAGCGGCAGCTCTACCCTTTAGCTCAGTGCGGATGTTGCCTGTAGTCCATGGCTTCTGGTTGGGGTATATACGTACGGTTACTGTGGGGACGACATCATCAATGCACTTATTGATGAAGCCCGTGACTGATGTGGTGTACTCCTCAATGCCATCTGAAGAATCCCGGAACATATTCTAGTCTGTGCTAGCAAAACAGTCCTGTAGCTTAGCATCTGCGTCATCTGACCACTTCCGTATTGAGCGAGTCACTGGTACTTCATGCTTTAGTTTTTGCTTGTATGCAGGAATCAGGAGGATAGAGTTAGGGTCAGATTTGCCAAATGGAGGGCGAGGGAGAGCTTTGTGCGCGTCTCTGTGTGTGGAGTAAAGGTGGTCTAGAGTTTTTTCCCTCTGGTTGCACATGTAACATGCTGGTAGAAATGAGGTAAAACAGATTTAAGTTCCCCTGCAGAGTGGACATGTCCACCAGAGTGGACATGCAGGACAGTGTGGTGTGGGCCCTGTGGGGCCTCGACAGAGCTCAGCTCACTCCTCTCCACTGACCTCTCAGACCAAAGTCACCTAATTTCCTGCCCCAGAGAGTGTCCACTGATCCCCTCACTCCTCTGGGGCCCTGGGTGTCTAATCCTGCATCCGCCACACAGAGACAGAGGGGTATATGTGTCGCCACACCACCCCCAACTCATTCTATAGAGACTCCAGTCTCAACTATCTAAACAAACACAACAATGTCAACTGATTTGACCCCTAACTTCCAAGCTTAGTCTTTAACATCATTTTTATTATGGCATCTCCTAGTCAGGTTTAAATGAGAAGAGAGAAGGGAAGAGAGATAGGAAGTAGAAAGAGAGAGTGAGGTGTCTGGGGCGTGAGCAAGAGGGAGGGAAGAAGAGAGAGAGAAAATAGAGAGGGAGAGGGAGTAAGGGAGGCTTGGGGAGGATTTTGATTAGGGACGAGGTGTACCCTGCCAGCTCTGGTCTGCTCATTATTCAGAGTGATGGAGTGAACAGTGACTGCAGCATCAGGATCAGGGGAGGGGAGGTCTAACCTAACCTATACCTCCCCAGGCCCTGAAGGAGCTGTCAGTCAACCTAAATGGACTGAGAGTTCACGCTACCCACAATCAACCTCTGACTCACAGCCCAGAACGTACCCAGGTGACTCCCTCCTCCATTTAACAGATCATCAGGGTTGATAGCATAGCAAAGGGTAAACCATAACCTGTCTGAACCTCAGCCCACAGGCATGATTAGTCCTGTTCTGCATGGCTAGAAGCAGAATGAGTCAATCTGAAATATGTATTGTTTTGACCACTTCACTTCTCACTAGTCCATTAAGGGTAGAGTAGAACTGCCTTCGAAAATTAAACAGAAGGAAGGGAGACATTTTGAATACTGAATGACTGTGTCTCTGTGCTGGACCTCTTCCACCGTTGCCACCCACTCCAGCCCCTGGTCTTGTCTTGCAGGTCTCAGCCCTGGCTCAGTGAAAAGATGAATAGTTTTGGAGTAGCTGTGTGGATGGTGTTCTGGTGTGTGGATGTGAAGACCAGGGCAGGGAAACAAGGGCTGGATTGGACATTGGGACACTGCAGGGCACTAGGCAGGCAGCTGTCCAGCAGGACACACTGTGCCTGGCTAGTGTTAGATTAGAGCCAGACATCTGCCCACCTCCCCACCAGACTGGAACCTTCCTGGGTCATGTGGGGGGTGATGGGACTACTGTGGAGTCAGTTCATCATTCATTCCTGTCATCTATTGACTCTGATTTTCCTCACCCCTGCTACTGTTTTATATTTCTCGCAGTAAACATGGTGCTATACTGAAATGGTTGGACTTAGTTGAGACTTTGGACTGAGTAGACCTGTGAAGTAAGCCTGTTGCTTCTGGCTGAGCTGTTGAGAGGAGCTGTTGATACTGTCACAGGGAACTCTCAGCAGTGTCTGGCTGCGGCTGGCTGGGATGTTTTGGTTAGCTCAGTCAGCATCACACTGGCATGGGGAGGCGGAGGACAGACAGACAGACACAGGAGGAGTGAGTGTGTCTTGATCCGTGTGAACTTCTCATCAATAAGAGCAACCTCCCATCCAACTCCCTGCACACTTCCACACATCTGAGAGTACTGTTAAAAGATTGATTCTGTTACCCAGAGAGCAGGTGATAAACCCCTCACACACACACACACACACACACACACACACACACACACACACACACACACACACACACACACACACACACCTATCTGCCTGCACACACACATATTTCGGTCCGTTCACAGTTCACACACAGAGCCTTTGGCCCTGAGAATAGCAACATTTTCAGTCAGAACTCCACAGAACTCCACTCTAATGAAAGCTATCTTCAGTGGGAACAGGGGGGTCCTGGTGTGGAGCGGTGTTTGCTGATTTTCTGGTATTTTTACAGTCTTTTATGTTCCCCAAAAACATGGGGGGCCAAAATAAAATCACCCTCGGGCCAAATGTGGGCAGCCAGTTGGGGAACCCTGCTCTACAGTATCTTTCGCTTTCTCCTTCTAGTTATGTCTCTCGTATTTTCGCCCTTTCTCTCTAATAACTTTTACCTAATCTACTCAAACTCATACTATTTCTTTCTTCTGTGTTCCTCACTTCTAGTTGGGACGACAGCAGCTCGGTGAGCAGTGGGATCAGTGACACTAACGACACAGATGACATCAACACCAGTTCCTCAGTCAACACTCCGTCCATATCCTGCAAGGACCTAGAGGGACAGGTAGGTTCTGCCCCAATCAGGGGTGTGGAAACCATAGAATTAGAATGACTAGAACAGTGAACAGACATTATGTTTCTAAAATGGCAGCATCTTTTTTATATTTTTTAAAATAAAGTCAAGAAACTCTTATTAAGCTTTCATTTCCCTTCAATAAACTCTGAATATAGATTACATGATGTCCACAGCCAGATATTACCCTGCTGATTTTCAATTAGTAGTGCTGAGCGATTAACCAAAACGTTTTTGGGTTATTGAACAACTAATTGAATTCCATGTATTCTTTTTGTGTGTGTGTGAGCCCAACGCGCCGTTTCTCTAGAGAGAAATCAAATCATTCACAAGAGACATTTACATTTTAGTCATTTAGCAGACGCTCTTATCCAGAGCGACTTACAGTTAGTGCATACATTATTATTTCTTCATACTGGCCCCCTGTGGGAATCGAACCCACAACCCTGCCGTTGCAAACGCCATGCTCTACCAACTGAGCTACATCCCTGCCGGCCATTCCCTCCCCTACCCTGGACGACTTGTGTGCCGCCCCATGGGTCTCCCGGTCGCGGCCGGCTACGACAGAGCCTGGATTCAAACCAGGATCTCTAGGGGCACAGCTATCTCTAGTGGCACAGCCTTAGACCACTGCGCCACTCGGGATGGCCACATGAGAGAGGAATGTACACAACACAACAAGAAGAGAGAGGGAAAGAGACAGTTCATGAAAGTATGCCTTATCTACTTTGAAGAACTAGTAAAATTATAGTCAGACAGCACTGCACCATACTTAAGCAGGCTAGCCTAGCTAAATAGGATGTCTAAAGACAGTACAGTATTGGGAGAACAGAGATGGTTGTCTGGCTGGCTGGATGGCTGGATGGCTGGCTGGCTGGATGGCTGGATGGCTGGATGGCTGGATGGCTGGATGGCTGGATGGCTGGATGGCTGGATGGCTGGATGGCTGGATGGCTGGATGGCTGGATGGCTGGATGGCTGGATGGCTGGCTCTACTGCCTGAGCAGAGATGAGATGATGGCATTAAGGAATGAAAAATCATAAAGTCATCAAATAAAACGAACTAATATAAACAACTGAAATATTTTATTATTTCATAGTAATTTCACATTTTTCTATGTGGACTTGACAGAGACAATGGAATATTTTCAATATAATAATAAGCCATTTAGCAGACGCTTTTATCCAAAGCGACTTACAGTCATGTGCGCATACATTTTTACGTATGGGTGGTCCCGGGGATCGAACCCACTACCCTGGCGTTACAAGCGCCATGCTCTACCAATTGAGCTACAGAGGACCACTGGATCAATGTTTTGGCAATTGAATATTCACTATTTTTGGCTTTGGAATTTCCATTAAAACGCTTGAATCATTTTAATGTCATCATTTCATAATGCATTTCATGTTTAAAAAATAATCGAAACTGAAATCGGAAACTGTGATAATTTTTTAATCATCGAACCGAAACAGCATCGACCTCAAAAAGCACTAATCGCTCAGCACTACCCATTAGACTGATGTAGGAGCATTTAAGCTCTCCCGTGTAATATACCAGGGACTTGTATACTTTGATTATCTTGGCCCCAATCATTTGAATGGGTACATTAACCTGAACATAACTGCATACACTAGGCTGCCTCTCAACTTTCACACTTCAGTTATAGAGGTTGTTGAAAAAATTAGCAGAGTGACATTTTCATCTGTTTCTGATCAGCAGTATATGCTGATGTGGTTGCCTCAAAGTGTTGATTGAAATTGCAGCCTAGCACACATCATCCCCCAGTTAATCTTATCCTGACACTCCTATCCATAGGTATTTATTCTCAAGTGCACATTTTCACCTTTTAGACTATTGATTTGAGGTGAAGACTTTCTGTTTGCCATATAGTAAAAGTGTCTCAATCTAGATTCTTGAGACTGTATGATGCAATCCTTTTTAGGAGCTTCTGCACAATGTAGACCAACTATATTGGCTTATTGAAATTCACTCCGTGACAAGAGTCACTAGAGACTCAAAGCAACAAGAGGTTAGAGCACATTTCAGACGTTGCTTGTTAACCCTCAACCTGCTCCGTCTAGCCTTTGAACAGTGAGTCATTACTCAGTCATGATATGAGGCAGAATTAACTCCAACCCACTCAATTGGGCACAAACTGGTTGAATCAATATTTGCAGCCATATGTGATAATATCTCTCTAGAAGCTGATCCGTCGTCAGTATTGTGGAATAATTATAATGTTAAAATAAGATTTGAATGGAGAAAGCTGATCCGAGAGCAGCGCTGCTTTTCTTTCGATCCTACCAGTATCGACACATGCCTCAACGACGCACATAGCGAGCGTTCTCTCTGCGTGGTGTTTTGGGAAATTCGTGTTGCGTCTTCAGCGGTTATAGGAAGGATGCATCGTTAAAACACTCGTAAGCCTAAATTCCATCGCTATCGGGAAACTGGGCCCAGGTCATTTGGTTCTGCTATTTGATGAAGAACAGTGATATCACATTAATCTGTTGTATAAATAAACAAAATATCTATCTGTATTCCCATTTGAATTTTGCTGTGCTTTTAAATGGTTGAAAGCACAGTGAGACATTTGGGTGATTACTAAACCAAAAATCAGACATTGTTTTTCCATTAAAATTTGGTTATGGTTTTCAAACTTGTTCATTTTTATCTCTTATCAAAATGAAAATAAATCAATAAATACATTTACTCAATAAAATGGTATCTTTCAAATTATATATGTTTTAATTTTTTTTTTTTTACAATTTGGCGACCCCACTGCAGTTCCATCGCAAACCCGACTTTGAATACCACTATTTTAGATGGTTGAAAGCATTGTGATAACACTTTGGAAATTCAGGTTGTAATCTAATTGATCAATTTATCAACCAAATATTACCCAATTATCCACGTTGAAATGACAGTGTGCCGAGTGGGCAGTGACTGCACTGAACCCTGCTTTAGAGCTGACTAGGGAGGGAGTCATGGGGTGAATTTATGGGCTTAACTACACTACATGACCAAAAGTATGTGGACACCTGCTCATCGAACATCTCATTCCAATATCATGGGTATTCATATGGCGTTGGTCCCCCCTTTGCTGCTATAACAGCCTCCACTCTTCTGGGAAGGCTTTCCACTAGAGGTTGGAACATTACTGTGGGGACTTGCTTCCATTCAGCCACAAAAGCATTAGTGAGGTCGGGCACTGATGTTGGGCAGTTAGGCCTGGCTCACAGTCAGTGTTCCAATTCATCCCAAAGATGTTCAATGGGGTTGAGGTCAGGGCTCTGTGCAGGCCAGTCAAGTTCTTCCACACCGATCTCGACAAACCCTTTCTGTATGGACCTCGCTTTGTGCACGGGGGCATTGTCATGCTGAAACAGGAAAGGGCCTTTCCCAAACTGTTGCCACAAAGTTGGAAGCACAGAATCGTCTAGAATGTCATTGTATGCTGTAGCGTTAAGATGTACCTTCACTGGAACTAAGGGGCCTAGCCCGAACCATGAAAAACAGCCCCAGACCATTATTCCTCCTCCACCAAACTTTACAGTTGGCACTATGCATTGGGGCAGGGAGCGTTCTCCTGGCATCCGCCAAACCCAGATTCGTCTGTCGGACTGCCAGATGGTGAAGCGTGATTCATCACTCCAGAGAACGCATTTCCACTGCTCCAGAGTCCAATGGCGGCGAGCTTTACACCGACGCTTGGCATTTCGCATGGTGATCTTAGGCTTGTGTACGGCTGCTCGTTCTTGTGCTGACGTTGCTTCCAGAGGCAGTTTGGAACTCAGTAGTGAGTGTAGCAACCGAGGACAGACAATTTTTACGTGCTACGCGCTTCAGCACTCGGCGGTCCCGTTTTGTGAGCTTGTGTGGCCTACCACTTTGCGGCTGAGCCGTTCCTAGATGTTTCCACTTCACAATAACAGCACTTACAGTTGACTGGGGCAGCTCTAGCAGGGCAGAATAACGGTGCCACGTTCAAAGTCACTGAGCTTTTCAGTAAAGCCATTCTGCTGCCAATGTTTGTCTATGGAGATTGCATGGAGGTGTGCTCGATTTTATACACCTGTCAGCAACGGGTGGGGCTGATATAGACAAATCCACTCATTTGAAGGGGTGTCCACATACTGCTGTATATATAGTGTAGTAGTAGGTCTGACCCATGTCCTCATCAGATACACCTCAACACTCACAAACGTATGTCTGTCATCATTGCCTATGTGGAAGACTGTGTGATAGAAGCAGTTTCTGTTTTTGCAAAGATAACCACACAATGCTCCTGTAGAGAGACAGTCTCTTTTCAGTGGAACATCCTGAGAACAGCACTGAGTGAGTTTTTTCAGGAATAAAGCAGTTGGCATGGTTGTGAATGTGATATAGAAGACTGTTCAGCAAGGTTATTTCCAGTCATAAAATGGAACTGGGTAGACGAGAGGAAGACTGTAGCTTTGGCACCCGTTTTGTTTTCATGTTTTTCTACCATTAAGGTTTTCACTGCATCCTCCCGTGCCAACGAGTGACTTAAACTCAAACAGTTGAATGAACTCGGGCCCCAAAACCAGCTCTTCAAGCCAACGTTCAGTCACAAAGTCCCCTCCCATTTTCTCTGTAACTGTATTGCCTTTTATAGAATTGCTTTGTATTGCATTTTTCTGCTGCTCTGTAGAATATGGCTTGGATTTATTATTGAGGCTATAGAGATAACAGTGTTTATGATCCAGGCTGATAAAGAAGGAGGTCATTAAAATTCTTTCCCTGGCAATCATTTTTTATGAGTATTTTCAGTAGCTAGTTGAACAATGACCTGTTATAACCAAGGCTGACGTAAGTTTGGCGAGCGCTGGGAAAACACACTACAAAACACCGCTCGAACACATTGTTTATTTGAACGGCCAATGTAATGGTCCTGTTCGCCAGCCTCTCCCTCTCCTTCTCCAGTCTCCACTTATCAGATTTTTTCATTTTGAGGCGGTAATGTTGATACATGAAGCATGAAAGATCCTTCTTTGCTGATTTCCTGTGGTAATCACTCCAGGCCCGGTCAGGGACTGTAGGCGTCCATTGTAGTCCACTGCTTACTCTCCTGACCACAGTCTTGTTCATTAGGCACCAAACGGAAGCAAATGGACTGAAACAGGGAGGGACTACCTGGACCTGTCCAATAGAAAGCGCTAATATTTAATTTTGTATTGCAACGCGTTTAATTTTTTTTATCTGTGATTCAGCCACATGCCTCAGATGAAAAGCCAGATGGGCAGCAGTGACATCAACCAGCGTTAATGTTCAACCACAGAGTGAATGCCTCAGTTCCACTCCCCACATTACTTCTAAGATGAGAACAGACTGCACCAAAATAAGAGAAAAATCATCATCAATATCAAGTTCCTGAATAGGAATCTTTTCCCTTGGTGGTTGAGCAACAGCTCATAGAACAAAGAGGATATTTGTATAAAGTGATGACTAAACAAGCATCCTGGTCTTGACAGTGTGTTTGTAATGAGTGCTGTTTGCTGATGAGAATATGAAAGCATTCACAGTAATAGGGACATGTGGAGTTGTTTAACTGGAATGATGGCATAAGGCTGAGCTTATGGGGGGAGGTAATAGACCAGCGTTTCCACGGGACCCCAAGGGGTGCACGTTTTGGTTTTTGCCCTAGTACTACACATCTGATTCCAATAATCAAAGCTTGATGATTAGTTGATGATTTGAATCAGCTGTGTAGTGTTAGGGCAAAACGTGCACCTCTTGGGGTCTGCAGGACCGAGCTTGGGAAGTGCTGGTCTAGACTAGTAGATCATTGCTTTTCTTTCTGCTTGCTCTCCTAGTGAGATGATTCACATATCAGTGTTATTATTATACTGGTATACTGTGAGTAGATGGGAGTTAGAGTATGTACAGCAGTGGTGGCTGGTGACACTTTAAATGGGGAGGACAGGCTCATAATAATGGCTGTAACAGAATTAATGGAATGGTCTCAAACACATCTAACACCTGGTTTACATGTGTTTGATGCCATTTCATTCACTCCATTCCATTCATTATTATGAGCCTTCCTCCCCTCACCAGCCTCCTCTGATGTGCAGTATCTACAGCACTTGAATAAACAGAAGTAACAGATGTTTGACGTTTGGTTTCCCTCAGCTCCAGACAGACGCAGAGAAACACTCGACCGCCGAGCGGAACTCTGTGTGGTCCGGCAGTGACAAGGTCAAGAGGTCAGACGGTGGCTCGGACAACGGGGTCAAAATGGAGTCGGGCTCCAAGTATTGCCGCCACCCCTCAGACATGTCGGACGAGTCGGACAGGAGCTCCTCGGGCCACAAGACGCCCTCCATGGCCCACACAGGCTCCTGGAGGCGGGGCATGAGTGCCCAGGTGGGCGTAACCTCGCCCAGGACCAAGGCTCCCATCACGCCAGGCTGTGCAACGCTGAAGACCCATGTTACAGGTACGTTACATACAGAGTAGAGACAGACGGAGCGTAGCAGCCACACTGTCTCTATATTGTTCTCTATCAGTCTGAACTATACTGAACAAAAATATAAACGCAACATGTAAAGTGTTGATCCCATGTTTCATGAGCTGAAATAAAAGATCCCAGAAATGTTCCATACGCACAAAAACGTATTTCTCTAAACTTTTGTGCACAAATGTGTTTACATCCCTGTTAGTGAGCATTTCTCCTTTGCCAAGATAATCCATCCACCTGACAGGTGTGGCATATCAAGAAGCTGATTAAACAGCATGATCATTACACAGGTGCACCTTGTGCTGGGGACAATAAAAGGCCACCCTAAAATGTGCAGTTTTGTCACACAACACAATGCCACAGATGTCTCAAGTTTTGAGGGAGCATGCAATTGGCATGCTGACTGCAGAAATGTCCACCAGAGCTGTTGCTAGAGAATTTGAATGTTAATTTCTCTACCATAAGTCGCCTCCAACGTCGTTTTAGAGAATTTGGCAGCCCAGGACCTCCACATCCGGCTTCTTCACCTGCGGGATCGTCTGAGACCAGCCACCCGGACAGATTATGAAAATGTGGGTTTGCACAACCAAAGAATTTCTGCACAAACTGAAACCATCTCAGGGAAGCTCATCTGCGTGCTCGTCGTCCTCACCAAGGTCTTGACCTGACTGCAGTTCGGCGTCGTAACTGACCCCAGTGGGCAAATGCTCACCTTCGATTGCCACTGGCACTCTGGAGAAGTGTGCTCTTCATGGATGAATCCTGGTTTCAACTGTACCGGGCAGATGGCAGACAGTGTGTATAGCGTCGTGTGGGCGAGCGGTTTGCTGATGTCAACGTTGTGAACAGAGTGCCCCATGGTGGCGGTGTGGTTATGGTATGGGCAGCCATAAGCTACAGACAATGAACATAATTGCATTTTATTGATGGCAATTTGAATGCAGAGAGATACCGTGACTAGATCCTGAGGCCCATTGTTGTGCCATTCATCCGCCGCCATCACCTCATGATTCAGCATGATAATGCACGACCCCATGTCGCAAGGATCTGTACACTATTCCTGGAAGCTGAAAATGTCTCAGTTCTTCCATGGCCTGCATACTCACCCATTGAACATGTTTGGAATGCTCTGGATTGACGTGTACGACAGCATGTGCCAGTTCCCGCCAATATCCAGCAACTTCGCACATCCATTGAAGAGGAGTGGGACAACATTCCACAGGCCACAATCAACAGCCTGATCAACTTTATGTGAAGGAGATGTGTTGTGCTGCATGAGGCAAATTGTGGTCACACCAGATACTGACTGGTTTTCTGATCCACCACCTACCTTGTTTTTAAGTATCTGTGACCAACAGATGCATATCTATATTCCCAGTCATGTGAAATCTATAGATTAGGGCCTAATGACTTTATTTCAATTGACTGATTTCCTTATATCTCAGTAAAATCTTTAATATTGTGCATGTTGCGTTTATATTTTTGTTCAGTGTACATGTGTTCCTGTAGCGTGTGATGAGGCAGCCAGCAGTCAACTACAGAGACTTTGTATCTGGTGGTCCATGGTTGATAGACTGTCATGTCTCCACCCACAGGTAAAACGGACGACGCCAAGGTGTCTGAGAAGGGCCAACATCATCTCTCTCCACGGGCCAAGTGTAGCATGCAGCGCTCCCCATCAGACACGGGCCGCAGCAGTGGAGACGAGGCCAAGAAGCCCCCCTCCTCCAGCTCCAGCCGCACCCCCACCACCAACACCTTTGGCTTTAAGAAGCACGCAGGAGGAGGTATGACCATGGTGACAGCCAGCGGAGTCACCATCACCAGCGGCTCCGCCACCCTGGGGAAGATCCCCAAGTCAGTGCAGCTCCACGGGGGTCGGGGCCTTGGTCGCCAGGCCAGTGTGGATGATGGCTACCTACCTGTGAGCTCACACTCCACCCTGCAGTACCGCAGCCTCCCCCGGCCCAGCAGAGCCTTTGGCGGGGGTCGCAGCACAAACCGCTCCTCCAGCACCAGCATCGACTCCAATCTCAGTAGCAAGTCCAATACGCTCCATGGCCCCAAAAGCCGCAGCCAAGTCCCCAAGCCCAGCGCTGGTGGTATCCCCCTCCCTGGCTCTGGATCCAACCAGACAGACCGGGAGAAGGGGGTGTCCTCTGATGCCAGTCCCATAGCCCATGGAGCCAGGCAACCAGGGGGAAAGTACCCAGACGTCTCCTCCCCTACCATGCGCAGGTCAGCCCACCACCTCCATACACCTAGCCCCAGCAATCAGGCGCTGTCTCACACTAACAGTGGATGAGTCTGATAACTCCTTCCACCGGCCCTGAAAGCACTACCACACCAGCCTGCTTATGTTTCCCACTGGGCAAAAACTGGTTGAATCAATGTTGTTTCCACGTCATTTCAACCCAAAAAAGCTATGTGATGGCGTTGAATCAACGTGGAAAACTAATTGGATTTGAAAAAGTAATCAACGTAACTTTTTACCTAAATCCAATGACATTACATTTTTTGTTGATTTCACATTGCATTCACAATAGTTGACAACTCAACCAAATGTCAATCAAAACTAGATGTTGAACTGACGTCTGTGCCCAGTGGGTTATGTGACATATTCAGGCACACTGCAAACTGATTTTAGTTGGGACAATCATCATATCAGCGTTATAGTAACATTAAATAAAACTGAGAGCTATTATCAGGGTTTCATTACGTTTTTTTGAAGTCTGCCCATGAATCGTGAGTGACTTAAAAGACTTGGCTTATCACTAGGCCTCTCTTGAAATAATGACCCATCAGTGGTCATTAAAAGCAGGGTGACAGGGCCCAGACAGGGCCAGTGTTTTCTCTAGCTCAAACCCAGTACTGGGCTGCCTGGTGTTGCTTTAACTGATGCTGCTTGGACTTATCTGACTAATCGCCTGATGAGGTAATGAGAAAATAGAGCAGCTGTTTCCCCTCAGTGGTCTGAGAGTCTCCCTTCTCATTTAACCCTTTCATGTTGTCCAAGCTAATATGGCATCTGTAGGACACGCTTTACATCCTGCTTTAATGTAAATTACGTGTTGATAAAAAGCCACGGTAGAAGATTTATGATAGCTGCTCACACGGAAGGCCAAACCAGACCAGCGAATCAGAGAGATGGATTTATTTGTCTTGTAATGATGTGATTATAGCATGAAGTAGGTATTGTGTTCTCGTGGCGACGTTATAATGTGCATTTGTTTCGCTTCTCTTTGCGTTAAGGAGTATTTTAATCAAAGATTACTTCAACAATTCCCTACTTAAACCCATGTAATACTTAACTCTCCTCTCACTCTTCTCCTCTGCTTCTCTCCCGTGCCATCCAGACTGTTCGGAGGCAAGCAGGGCAAGCAGCAGGCCCCAGTCATCACCGCAGAGAACATGAAGAACTCCACCGTCATCTCCAACCCCCACGCCAACTCTGGCCAGCAGGGCGTCGCTCTGGACTCCCCCTCGGCCAGTAGCGGGGGCAGTAGCCCTCTGTATGGGGGTGGAGGTCGCCTGGGTGTGGAGGCCCACTCCCTCTCCCCCCTGGCCTCCAGTCCCAGCTCGGCCCTGTCCACCCCCTCCCACAGCCTGGCCTGGAGCAGCACCCTCAGCCCCGGCTACCCCTCCCTCAGCAGCCTTGCCACCAGCAGCGAGTCCATTGACCTGTCTCTGGGCAGCGGAGGCCACGGACACCACGGCCCTGGTCACGACACACTGCCAGCCTGCGTCAGGAACAACGGCATCAAAACTGGCTTCTCAGACAGGTAGGAGTGGGTTTGTTTTAGGAGCGGCCAGGTGTGGCGATGTGTTTTAATGTCGACTACAAGCTCTCCTCCCTTTTTTTCCCTTTGTATCTCAACCTTGGATCTGTTGTGTGCATAAGGGTTCAGTCCATTTCTAACAGAAGAGTTTGAGTGGCCATATTGATGATAAAGGAGATGATAGGAGACTGATTCCTAGTTGTTGTTGTGATGAAAGCATGGATTCTATCTTGACTGTTGATCTCTCTGTTTCCCCCTTCTCTCTGTGCTCCTCCTCTCTCTTTTGTTTACCCCTACCCCCTAACCCCCTAAACCACGAACCCCCTCCCTTCCCCCTAGCCTTAGCCCCCTCTCCTCTCCCTCAGCTAGTCCCAAATTCAGCCGAAACACTTTACCCCGGAAACAGGACAGGTAAAAGTGTCTATATGGAGTTAGGCTTGCTTGATGGTGAAACAGCTGCCTGTGTGTAGTGTACTGTGTTTGTGAAGTGAAGTGGCTGTTGGATGTTATTGCTGCCTGCATCTCTTTCACAGCATGCATAGTGCCATCTGCTGGCTACACTGGGAAGGACAGGGCTGGAGTCTGAAGCATTATCTTGAGATGTACATCGAAAAATATAGAACTAAGAAAGATCACACCACAGCTGTGAAGTTTCTATAGATATATGTTATCTGTAGCTGTGTCCTGTCTCTATATGTTTTGTCTACATGTTCAGAATGGCCACACACCTACCTCCACTAAACATTAATTGCCCCTATGTTTAGGTTTTTGGCAAGGGCTGAACTCCCAAAATACCTCACTGTAAGCCACCATTTCCTTGAGCAGTTTACTCAGAAAAAAATATATACATACAATATATACAGTGAGGGAAAAAAGTATTTGATCCCCTGCAGATTTTGTACGTTTGCCCACTGACAAAGACATGATGAAATGTCAAATAAAGGTGAAATAAAAATAAATAAAATAAAAATGATCAGTCTATAATTTTAATGGTAGGTTTATTTGAACAGTGAGAGACAGAATAACAACAAAAAAGTCCAGAAAAACGCATGTCAAAAATGTTATGAATTGATTTGCATTTTAATGAGGGAAATAAGTATTTGACCCCTCTGCAAAACATGACTTAGTACTTGGTGGCAAAACCCTTGTTGGCAATCACAGAGGACAGACGTTTCTTGTAATTGGCCACCAGGTTTGCACACATCTCAGGAGGGATTTTGTTCCACTCCTCTTTGCAGATCTTCTCCAAGTCATTAAGGTTTCGAGGCTGACGTTTGGCAACTCGGACCTTCAGCTCCCTCCACAGATTTTCTATGGGATTAAGGTCTGGAGACTGGCTAGGCCACTCCAGGACCTTAATGTGCTTCTTCTTGAGCCACTTTTTTGTTGCCTTGGCCGTGTGTTTTGGGTCATTGTCATGCTGGAATACCCATCCATGACCCATTTTCAATGCCCTGGCTGAGGGAAGGAGGTTCTCACCCAAGATTTGACTGGCCCCGTCCATTGTCCCTTTGATGCGGTGAAGTTGTCCTGTCCCCTTAGCAGAAAAACACCCCCAAAGCATAATGTTTCCACCTCCATGTTTGACGGTGGGGATGGTGTTCTTGGGGTCATACATTTTCATAAATGTATATGTGCTTTCTTGAGCAGGGGGACCTTGCAGGCGCTGCAGGATTTCAGTCCTTCACTTCGTAGTCTGTTACCAATTGTTTTCTTGGTGACTATGGTCCCAGCTGCCTTGAGATCATTGACAAGATCCTCCCGTGTAGTTCTGGGCTGATTCCTCACCGTTCTCATGATCATTGCAACTCCACGAGGGAGATTGACAGTTCTTTTGTGTTTCTTCCATTTGCGAATAATCGCACCAACTGTTGTCACCTTCTCACCAAGCTGCTTGGTGATGGTCTTGTAGCTCATTCCAGCCTTGTGTAGGTCTACAATCTTGTCCCTGACATCCTTGGAGAGCTCTTTGGTCTTGACCATGGTGGAGATTTTGGAATCTGATTGATTGATTGCTTCTGTGGACAGGTGTCTTTTATACAGGTAACAAGCTGAGATTAGGAGCACTCCCTTTAAGAGTGTACTCCTAATCTCAGCTCGTTACCTGTATAAAAGACACCTGGGAGCCAGAAATCTTTCTGATTGAGAGGGGGTCAAATACTTATTTCCCTAATTAAAATGCAAATCAATTTATAACATTTTTGACATGCATTTTCTGGTTTTTTTTGTTGTTATTCTGTCTCTCACTGTTCAAATAAACCTACCATTAAAATTATAGACTGATCATTTCTTTGTCAGTGGGCAAACGGACAAAATCAGCAGGGGATCAAATACTTTTTTCCCTCACAGTACCCGTCAAAAGTTTGGACACACCTAACTCATTCAAGGGTTTTTCTTTATTTTTACTATTTTCTACATTGTAGAATAATAGTGAAGACATCAAAACTATGAAATAACACACATGGAATCATGTAGTAACTAAAAAAGTATTAAACAAATTAGATTTTTCAAAGTAGCCACCCTTTGCCTTAATGACAGCTTTGCACACTCTTGGCATTCTCTCAACCTCAGCCTAGGTTATTATCATTATCTGTCCAGATTGTGACTTGCAGCATTCACACATAGATGTAGATGTGAGGTGGATTTTCAGCATCTCCTGTCATCTCTCTGCAGGTACGGCCACCTCCCCCAGCAGCGTATTCATGACGACTCCCGGGACTGGCTGCGTTCCCACTCTGCAGGAGGTCTTCAGGAGTCTGCCGCCAGCTCACCCTTCTACCCCGCCTCCAGCCTCACCTCGCCCTCCGGAGCCCGCTTCAACTTCTCCCAGCTTAGTAGGTGTATCCTCAACCCTCTCTACTCATCACTTTGATTAGCACTGTAGGAGCAGTGATAGTCATCTCTGCACAATGAACTAAATCTTGTGTGTATGCTGGCTTAATGTTTCGTCTCTCTCAAGAGACTACTCTGATAGTAGTGATGATGTAAGGAAAAGTAGTAGGGATTATATTTATTATGTTGTATTTCACTCTTACTTTCCACTATGAGTGAAGAGTAACAGACAAACGGCAAACATATCTGATCAATGCCGTCTGTCCATGTCTGTATTTAAGATATTATTTTACCGTTGTTATGTAATGGCTGTGTCATTACAGGCAGCCCTACCACGGCGGCACAGATCAACCTGGCCAACCTCCGCAGCGGCTTGGCCAATCAGGACGGGTCGTATGACCCGTACAGTGACCCCCGTCTGAGGAACTCGTCCATGTCTCTGGAGGAGAAGAGTCGCACCATGAGTAGCTCTGGGTCCTTCAGAGAAGGCCTGGAGGAGGGTAAGACACACTGACATACCCCTCCGTCTATTTGCTTTCACACAGAGCCTCAGAGAAATTGAGAGCTTGGGACTATAAGGTTCTATCTGCATTTTTGTCAAAAAACAAATCTTGACATAGCCTTGTTCTGTTCAATGTTCTCTAGCTACAGTGCCTTCGGAAAGTATTCAGACCCCTGGACTTTTTCCACATTTTGTTAGGTTACAGTCTTATTCTAAAATGTATTACATAGTTTTTTCCCCTCATCAATCTACAGACAATACCCCATAATGACAAAGCAAAAACAGGTTAAAAATATATAAAATACAAAAACGGAAATATCACATTTACATAAGTATTCAGACCCTTTACTCTGTACTTTGTTGAAGCACCTTTGGCAGCGATTACAGCCTCAAGTCTTCTTGGGTATGACGCTACAAGCTTGGCACACCTGTATTTGGGGAGTTTCTCCCATTCTTCTCTGCAGATCCTCTCAAGCTCTGTCAGGTTGGATGGGGAGCGTTGCTGCACAGCTATTTTCAGGTCTCTCCAGAGATGTTAGATCGGGTTCAAGTCCGGGCTCTGGCTGGGCCACTCAAGGACATTCAGAAACTTGTCCCGAAGCCACTCCTGCGTTGTCTTGGCAGTGTGCTTTGGGTCGTTGTCCTGTTGGATGGTGAACCTACGCCCCAGTCTGAGGTCTTGAGTGCTCTGGAGCAGGTTTTCATCAAGGATCTCTCTGTACTTTGCTCCGTTCATCTTTCCCCTCGATCCTGACTAGTCTCACAGTCCCTGCCGCTGAAAAACATTCTCACAGTATAATGCTGCCACCACCATGCTTCACTGTAGGGATGGTGCCAGGTTTCCTCCAGACGTGACGCTTGGCAGTCAGGCCAAAGAGTTCAATCTAGGTTTCATCAGACCAGATAATCTTGTTTCTCATGGTCTGAGAGTTTTTAGGTGCCTTTTGGCAAACTCCAAATGGGCTGGCATGTGCCTTTTACTGAGGAGTGGCTTCCGTCTGGCCACTCTACCATAAAGGCCTGATTGGTGGAGTGCTGCAGACATGGTTGTCCTTCTGGAAGGTTCTCCCATCTGCACAGAGGAACTCTAGAGCTCTGTCAGAGTGACCATCGGGTTCTTGGTCACCTCCCTGACCAAGGCCCTTCTCCCCCGATTGCTCAGTTTGGCCGGGCAGCCAGCTCTAGGAGTCTTGGTGGTTCCAAACTTCTTCCATTTAACAATGATGGAGGACACTGTGTTCTTGGGGACCTTCAATGCTGCAGACATTTTTTGCTACCCTTCCCCAGATCTGTGCTTCGACACAATTCTGTGTCTGAGCTCTACGGACAATTCCTTCGACCTCATGGCTTGGTTTTTGCTCTGACATGCACTGTCAACTGTGGGACCTTATATAGACAGGTGTGTGCTTTTCCAAATCATGTCCAATCAATTGAATTTACCACAGGTGGACTCCAATCAAGTTGTAGAAACATCTCAAGGATGATCAATGGAAACAGGATGCACCTGAGCTCAATTTCGAGTCTCATAGCAAAGGGTCTGAATACGTCTGTAAATAAGGTATTTCAGTTTTTTATTTTTTATAAATTTGCAAACGTTTCTAAAAACCTGTTTACGCTTTGTCATTAAGGGGTATTGTGTGTAGATTGCTGAGGATTTTTTTAATTTAATCAATTTTAGAATAACAAAATGCGGAAAAACTAAAGGGGTCTGAATACTTTTCCGAAGGCAAGTCATGTTGTTAAGTTAAAAACAATACAATATAAAAATCGCTGACACCATTCAAACCAAGAATCATATTTTTGCAGATTGAACCTTATCTTCCCAAATTCTTGAAATGCAGGTACATGTATTGCTTTGTTAGATGATTTCCACTCCACATGCCTGTGTGAACTTCCATTTGACTTCTGAATGGATTATAATTCCTTTAAAAAATCAAGCCGTGCTTGCAGATTGTTGTTAACTAAGAGGGTTTTTTGAAAGCCTTAATTCTTAACAGGGCACTAGTGAAATATATACTTTTCTTTTTACAAAAGTAATTTTTATTGAATCCATACACTTTTTCAGCCAACCATTTAAATCACTAGTGAAGTCATTCATTACCTTTATTATTTCAGTCTTTCCACACGTCTACAGTTGAATTGGGAAATACAAAGAAGCAGTTTGTTTGATGTACGTACATAGACTGAGGTTTGATGATTGACTACACTTCTTTAGCTGAATGGCTTGGTGCTCTTGTGGCTTATTACTTGTCCCGAGGCTCTCTCTTTAACTGATCCCTCTATGATGCCAGTTTCTTGGCTGGTGTTGGCTGTTGATTTGTTCGTGTCCAAGGGCGAGTCTCAGAGTCATGTTGAGCTGTGGTGTTGTGGCATGCAGGCCAAGGTTAGGAGGAGCAGTAGAAGAAGGAGGACAAAGACTGATAAATATCTCCTCTCCTCTCCCGTCGCAGATAGACAGCTGACTCAACACCAGCTCTACAGACCCACCCTCTTCCCAGACAGGCGCAGAGCACAAGGCCCTGTTTGATGGCACCCCAGTGTATACTTTTCTACTTTAGATCACAGGTGATAGAGTAAACCTGGTAAAATCCCTGCTCTAGTCACAGTATACGTACATGTATATTTACTTCTATTAGGACTCCTAAAGATATGTTTCAGAAAAGACAAACATCCATTCCCAACTTGAAAAACGAATCAAACATCCTAGCATGTAAATGTGTAATCTGGGATATGTACTGCAGTTCAATGGTCATTTCAAAGAATGATACAGGTAACTGCCAAAATAATGGAAACACTTGATAAATGAGGGATTCAAAGTATATTGAAAGCAGGTACTTCCACACAGGTGTGGAATTAACATTAACCAGTTGCCTATTATTTTGGCTACCATGGCTAGAAGAAGAGATCTCAGTGACATTGAAAGAGGGGTGATTGTTGGGGCATGTTTGGCAGAAGCTTCAGTGACAAAGCCTGCTCAACTTGCTGATGTTTCACGATATGCCATTGCCGTCTCAGTCACCAGATATCAATCCTATTGAACAATTATGGGATATTCTGGCGCGGCGCTTGAGACAGCGTTTTCCACCAATACAAACAAAACACCAAATGATGGAATTTCTTGTGGAAGAATGGTGTCTCATTCCCCACCATCCATCCACACACGTCAATGAACTCTGTGACACTTGAATCAGTCTGGAGAACACACTCAGGGCCCTGGATAATTGGGGCTTGTTTGTACAAAGGCTTCGTAAGCAGCTAAGCATTTAGTTAAGTTTGGCACATCCCCCTGCTGTCGTTTTAGTCCTGCAGTGATATTGTGGTTCCATTACATTATGATGAATGAAGAGAGAGAGGCTGTGTTATTGTTATGGCATTGACAGTACTCACTAGAGAATATGTAAGGGATAATCAACTAGGCCTATGCGTTCTATGGAAAATAATGAATGACATGGAAGGTGTGTTCCATGACGCGCTAGCAGAGTGGAGCTGACCTTCCACGAAATGTGTTCATTTGCAGGTAGAAATGTGTTCAACATCCACTGAAGTAGCTAGCAAGTTTACTAGATAGCTAGCTACAGTAGTTACCTTGGTAACCAAGCAAACAGACTTGCTAGTTTAGCTAACCAAACCATCAGTCTTAGCTTACTATTATGGAAATTGAATTCAACAATGACAATAATGTTTTCAATTCAACTTTTGCTTTCAAAAGCAGCTCAAACATAGAACATGTAAGAATGAACTACAGCCATTGAATTCTACCATGCTCGTATACCGTGCGTTATAGGGAAATAATCCACGCTCTAGAATGCCCTTCAAGCCAATCAGAAACGAGTATTCAACAATGCCATGGTATAATGATGAGGCTGATGACTGCTGGTAAAGTGTGAATGCATCATACAGTATGTCTCACAAGGGAGATTTTGAGTTTGGACATGTGAACTGTAGAGTTAGCCAGACTTTGGTGCTGTTGTGTGGGTGTCAACCATATCAGCACAATTAAAGCGTAGGCTACAAAGTAAACTAGTTGCAGTAATAGCGCCATTCACTCACTCACTGTAGCTCAGCTGGTAGAGCACGGCGCTTGTAACGCCAAGGTAGTGGGTTCGATCCCCGGGACCACCCATACACAAAAAAATGTATGCACGCATGACTGTAAGTCGCTTTGGATAAAAGCGTCTGCTAAATGGCATATTATTATTATTATTATTACAATCACTCACTCACACACTCACACTCACACACACACACACACACACACACACACACACACACACACACACACACACACACACACACACACACACACACACCTAGTACAGCACCTCTGTTGTAAACGTTCAGTCAGGGGACCTGTTCATGCATGTTCCTGTTTCATCAGGTTGAGATGAATCACTGCTTACATGAATCATATACCCACCACTGGGCACACACTGGTTGAATCATAGTTGTTTCTATTCCACCAACATGGAATAGATGTTGAATTGACGTCTGTGCCCAGTGGACCATGAATGAGTTGAACGTTGTGTTTTTGTTTCTCTCCAGTCCATGGCTCCTCTGTGTCTCTGGTGTCCAGCACTTCCTCTGTCTACTCCACGGTGAGCGCCACTTTGCTGTCTGTCTATGCACTCCACCGACTATCCAAACACATAGCACGTATGGCAATAAGCTTAGGGCTGGTTTCCCAGACACAGATTAAGCCTAGTCCTGGGCTAAAAAGTTATTTTCATTGCGATTCTTCATTGAGCATGCTTTTTAGTTTAGGACTAGGGTTAATCTGGTTTCCACTAGCTTCCATAGCCACAAAGTCAGATTTCCCAGCCAAAAAGTACAAATTGGCTAAATTATTTTGCTTTTTGGTCTAAATTTAAGGTTACACTCTTAGAAAAAAGGGTTCCAAAAGGGTTCTTCGGCTGTCCCCATAGGATAACCCTTCTTGGTTCCAGATAGAACCCCTTTTGGTTCCAGGTATAACTCTTTTGGGTTCCATGTAGAACCCTCTGTGTAAAGGGTTCTACATGGAACTCAAAAGGGATCTACCTGGAACCAAAAAGGGTTCTTCAAGAACCCTTTTAGGTTCTAGATAGTGTAGAGTTAGGCATAAGGTTAACAGTGTGGTTAAGGTTATGTCTGAATTGACTGCTGAATTGCATTGCTAGTTAACTGTGCTCATGTGAATCCCTGTAGCCTTAGGTGGAAACTGAATATGTTCAGATTGTTTGTCATGTTGTCTTATCCCATGCATACTCTGACATAATAATAATAATAATAATATGCCATTTAGCAGACGCTTTTATCCAAAGCGACTTACAGTCATGCGTGCATACATTTTTTTTGTGTATGGGTGGTCCCGGGGATCGAACCCACTACCTTGGCGTTACAAGCGCCGTGCTCTACCAGCTGAGCTACAGAGGACCAAACCCTAAACCCTATTTATTTTCTTCTCTTTGCTCCTCTTCTATTTTTCATAGCCTGAGGAGAAAGCTCAGTCAGAGGTAAGAACAACTTTGTGTACTTTACTTTCACACGTGACACCATTGATTTGTATCATAGCCTTTTGTGATTTGTACCATATTACACCATATTGTGACCTGATTACCAGGGCCGGACTACCGCATTTGGGGCCCGGGGCACTGACCTTCGGGGGCCCTACACCCCCCAATATATTTTTATTTATTTACTGCATTTCAACACATTTTGCCATGGTGCAGAGAGAAAAATGTACAGTTTTAAAGCAAATGTCCTGCTATTCCATACATTTTGCCATGAGGCTGAGATAAGATTTTACAGTTTTAAAGTTCATTTCCTGCAATTCTAAACATTTTTCTATCATATGCTATCTGATTTATTTTTATTTTTGGGGGGGTTGGGGGCCCCCGTAGCAGTATAACCATTTATGAGCCCTGAAGTTGTTTGAGTAATACAAAGGCTTCGTAAGCAGCTGACCCAGCTGACCCTTTGGAGCAACTAAATCCCTATCATTCTTACTCAAAATACTCTGTTTTATTCAATGGAATACATACTACTGTATCATATATGGTATGTATGGTATTTCCTGTTGATAAGCATGATCTTGTTTTTCTGTTCTCAGATTCGTAAGCTGCGGAGAGAATTGGACGCCTCCCAAGAGAAGGTGTCTGCTCTGACCACTCAAATTAGTGCTAATGTAAGTACGATGGCAAATGGTTACTATGCTATGCACTGTGGCTATCATTGTTATGCTACGCTGGTAGTAACTATGTAATGCCTTGGTTATGCTCAATGGAACAAATTCGTATTAGTGTTGCATATTACTAGCATTTATATCTAGAAGTCAAAGTGTTCCAGCAATGCGGCTGGTGTTTTTGTTTACCTTTGCATGGCTGCCTAAAGCACATTGAACATGACACTGTGTAATGGTCTGAGAGGGAAGCAGGCGTTTAACCCCATTATCTATTCCATCTGCTCTCTGAATGCAAACAAACACGATGGCCCAGCAGTAACGGCGTAATGAAATGGCCCGCATCCACACTGGTCATGGCCCGCATCCACACTGGTCATGTGATCTCACAACAGAGATTTCACAACAAAGCAGGTTGGAGGTTCCTGCAGCTGTGGAGGCTTGGTGTGGAGTTTGAAGGCTGTAGCCACCTGTAAGAGCACTCGCGTTAGACTGCTAGAGGATGGCCTGAGCCCCTGGCCTGGCCCTACAAGCCCTGCAAGACAGACCTGCACTAGGACCTGACTGACTGACTGACTGAATGACTGACAGTGTGGCTGACTTACCAAGAATAGACGGGTTGGCTGACAACGTCACGAAAACGCACCAATGTAGCCGGAAGGTGTGCGTTGTTATAATTCTGAACGGTCAGATCGCTAGCAACAATCACAAGAAGCTGCCATGTGGGGAATCGTAGGTGGCTCGTTTCAGCTTGTTTTATCTTCTTATCCATACCATGTCTTGTTTTGAGGTGTTTTGACTGAGGTCATGTCAATGCTAATATGTCAAAGATTTGCAAGCTAGCTAACCAACAACTCTAACAATGTATTTGAGAGACAACAAGTGCTCATTGTGCAAATGTATTTACAGTATGTTTTCAATAAACATTTGGAGATGAAATATTTAGTGCATTCGGAAAGTATTCAGAGCCCTTCACTTTTTCCACATTTTGTTACGTTACAGCCTTATTCTAAAATTGATTTTAAAAAAAATATCTCTCATCAATCTACACACAATACCCCATAATGACAAAGTGAAAACAGGTTTTTAGAAATGTTTGCGCATTTATTAAAAATAGAAAAAACAGAAATATCTTATTTACATAAGTATTCAGACCCTTTGCTATGAGACTTGAAATTGAGATGTTTCTACAACTAGATTGGAGTCCACCTGTGGTAAGTTCATTGATTGGACATGCTTTGGAAAGGCACACACCTGTCTATATAAGGTCCCACAATTGACAGTGCATGTCAGAGCAAAAACCAACCATGAGGTCGAAGGAATTGTCCGTAGAGCTCCGAAACAGGATTGTGTTGAGGCACAGATCTGGGGAAGGGTAAGAAAAAATGTCTGCAGCATTGAAGGTCCCCAAGAACACAGTGGCCTCCATCATTCTTAAATGGAAGAAGTTTGGAACCACCAAGACCCTTCCTAGAGCTGGCCGCCCGGCCAAACTGAGCAATCGGGGGAGAAGGGCCTTGGTCAGGGAGGTGACCAAGAACCCAATGGTCACTGTGACAGAGCTCCAGAGTTCCTCTCTGGAGATGGGAGAACCTTACAGAAGGACAACCAACTCTGCAGCACTCCACTAATCAGGCCTTTATGGTAGAGTGGCCAGACGGAAGCCACTCCTCAGTAAAAGACACATGACAGCACGCTTGGAGTATGCCAAAAGGCACCTAAAGGACTCTCAGACCATGAGAAACAAGATTCTCTGGTCTGATGGAACCAAGATTGAACTCTTTGTCCTGACTGCCAAGCGTCACGTCTGGAGGAAACCTTGCACCATCCCTACGGTGAAGCATGGTGATGGCAGCATCATGCTGTGGGGATGTTTTTCAGCGGCAGGGACTGCGAGACTAGTCAGGATCGAGGGGAAAGATGAACGGAGCAAAGTACAGAGAGATCCTTGATGAAAACCTGCTCCAGAGTGCTCAGAACCTCAGACTGGAGCGAAGGTTCACCTTCCAACAGGACAACGACCCTAAGCCCACAGCCAAGACAATGCAGGAGTGGCTTCGGGACAAGTCTCTGAATGTCCTTGAGTGACCCAGCCAGATCCCGGACTTGAACCCAATCGAACATCTCTGGAGAGACCTGAAAATAGCTGTGCAGCGACGCTCCCCATACAACCTGACAGAGATTGAGAGGATCTGCGGAGAATGGGAGAAACTCCTCAAATACAGGTGTGCCAAGCTTGTAGCGTCATACCAAAGAAGACTCAAGGTTGTAATCGCTGCCAAAGGTGCTTCAACAAAGTACTGAGTAAAGGGTCTGAATACTTATGTAAATGTGATATTTACATTTTCTTTTTTTCATATACATTTGCAAAAACTTCTAAAAACCTGTTTTTGCTTTGTCATTATGGGGTGTTGTGTGTAGATGTATGAGGGGAGAAAAAACAATTTAATCCATTTTAGATAAAGGCTGTAACGTAACCAAATGTGGAAAAAGTCAAGGGGTCTGTATACTTTCCGAATGCACCGTAGTTTACATGTTGTCAACAATCTAAGCCAACCCTGTCTGTTTTGCCCGATAGTTGCACACAAGTCAGTTTTGTTGCTAAACAACCAACCCGTCTATACTCCTGGAGCTAATCTGTGAAGCTTGATAGTGGAGCAGTCAGTCAGCCACATGCCCCAACACCAGCACCTCTGTCTGATGGAAGCCCTCCAGATCTGTTCCCCGCATTCTCTTCTGCCTTCAGCTCATGTTCCGTGGAGGACGGGCTCTGGGCTGTGATAGGAATCAGGACGTGTTTACTCATACCTCCGTGTGATGATCAGAAGAACAGAAGCTATCAGTCTTCAGCGTCTGTCTGCTATCGGACTCATACTTTATCAAAGGCAAACTGGTCCCTGGCTGGGCTGGATCACCTTGAGCTGAGGAGCTTTAACCATGTCAGCGAGAAGTCCCAGTCCCGGGGCCAGCAGCCCGGTGACGGTGACGTGGTATACCCTGAACCACTACCCATCCCTGCGGACGGAGGCAGCCAGAGAGAGGGCCAGACGCCAACTGCAGCCCAGGCTGAGTCGCCACCAGGGGGACAGCAACACACAGCAGGGCCTCACTGAGGTGGGATCTGATTGGCACCTTTGGCTAGCAGTATAGGTAATAATACATGGCTGAGTTGTGGGCTGTAACTAGAGGTTGGAGTTCAGTGTGTCTGTCTGTCCTAGATATGTTTTATCAGAGGACACACTCGTCTCTGTTGCCTTTATCTTGATGTTCTGCTTTTGTTTTGACTGGAAAGCTGTTAGTTATCAACTACCAGGAACTTCATTTTTGATTTCATGTTTGATTTCAAAAAGTATGCATGCTTTGCTTTTTCTGTGGAATGTAAATCAATTGCTCTAATTATTTTCTTTGTAAAGCATATCAACAACAGCAATGCATAAGATAATGTGTCATATCTGAAACCCACCACGGCTTTTGAAATCCAAACACCTGTGGTGTGTAATGTTTGGATTTATCTTCTAAAACACAAGCCATCCATTGATTTCATGTATTTGAAGTGGTTTCTTTGGATGTCTATTATAGCCAAACAGACTGCATACTGAGCCAGTCTACAATCTCTTTGTACATCTTCATCATATTCCCAACTGTGACAGTGATGAGAGTCAACGTGTAATTTGATAACAAGCATGTTTCTATCATACCTGTATTTCTACAAAATATAACAGATACTGGTGATTATTTTACTCTGCATATGAGAAGAAAACATCCTAACTGTATTCCTCTTTTTCCTTTGTCCCCATGTGCTCATCTGTGGCTGTGAGAAGATAGCAGGTCTCTGGTTTCACTAAGGCAGCTGATAGCTAGCTAGAGTGTGTTAGGACTTGTGTTGGCCTCATGTTGATCTCTACTAGGCTGCTAAACCATGGAACCCTGCCCAGACAGCTACTGTAGCTAGCTAGTCGTCAGAGAGCCTGCCCCATCACCCTTTATATCAGCATGGATCCATTGCCAACATGTACTGACCATGTGGAGCAACTCAATCCCTGTCATTCTTACTCAAAATACTTGATGTACACCATGACACAGAAGCCATTATCACCTGTGTATGTTTTGGCTCTGTGTATGCATGTCGTGGAAAGTATGTGGGTGTGTTCTTATGAGCAATACTTTTTCAGAAAACTGCAGTTTGTTGCCCATTTCACAGCCTTGAGTTGGGATTACAAATAACATTGTCAGCAGGACAATTTGCTAACTTTCCTCATACATTAATCACTAAATGTGTCCTGTTGTGTGTATGTCTTCAGGCTCACCTGGTTGCAGCATTTGAGCAGAGCTTGCGGAACATGACCATCCGACTCCAGGGACTTACCACCACGGCTGAGCAGAAGGTAAGGACTGGGGCTGTGGTCTGTTTCCTTAGAAATATGTCTGTCCTTCCTTGGATGGATGGTGAAGCTAATTGTGTTGTTTTATCATGTTGTTGTGTTGTAGGACTCTGAGCTGAACGAGCTGAGGAAGACCATAGAACACCTGAAGAAGCAGAATACCGTAGCCCAGTCAGACATCAATGGTGTCATCAATCTCCCAGAGCCCACCAGCAAAGGTGATAGGTCAGGTGAGAAGTTACCTCCCACATCACAATGGAAACACAATAAGGGTGGATGGCTATTGGCTAGTGAGGAGAAAGGCATCTGACGCAGAATCTGAATCGATTCCAATTCAATGTCATCGTCTGGTCCCTGTCTCACCCAGTCTCTCTCTTGTGTATCCCATAGCTTCAGCCAATGAGAGCTCCCAGTCTCAGCCGGACCTGCGTATCCACAGACAGCACTCATCTGACAGTGTGTCCAGCATCACCAGCGCCACCAGCCACTCCAGTGTGGGCAGCAATCAGGAGCTGGACGCCAAGAACAAGAAGAAGAAGAAGAACTGGGTAGGTCCTCCACTCTCTGTCTGTCTATCTAGCTGGCTGGCTAGCTGTCTGTCTGTCGCTCTGTGTGTCTGTCGGTCTGTCTAATCTGTAATGTGTTTTTGCCCTTTCCTCCACTCCTGATTGTCTTAGCCTCCTTGTGCAGGAGCAAAGGTGAATATGCGTATTGCTCTTAGTGAGCTCCTCTAGAAACTAGACTGTGAGTGGAGAATTTTGAGGCGTTCTCTTATTGCACACGACAAACCGCAAACAAACTGCAAAAAGGTTTGTCATCTGTAGTCTGTTATAGTTAGATACAAGCTTTGGTCAATATACTCATGCATGTTTTTGCCTGTAGAAAAGGCATATGTGTGTATATACTAGTTCAACACTGCCTGTAATCTATGAAGTCAAATTAAAATGTCTGTGTGTTCTTTTGTCCTGATATAATAATGCTGTTGCGTGTGTTGGAGGGAAGGTGAAAGATGACTATGTACGTAGACTGTCCACAGTGATGATACTTATACACATGTACTATCTTCATTTGAACAGTTTCTCACAGCAGTAAAATAATCCTGCAGCAACAGGAAATGTGAATTATTATGTGGATTATAATTCATGGACATTTTTGTAGGGATTGATACATGTTGTGTTAGGATAAATCAAGTCTGATATTTTAAAGTGGAAATTACAAACTTTAGAAGCCTTTTTAAACCTTTTTAAAGGAAAATGATCTGCAATAACAGTGTGATAAAATTAAGATAGGACATCTGTAGCTATGGAGTACCTGACTATTTGACCACAAGGGGCCAGACGGCTTCTGAGTTTAAATATCTAAATCTGCCTTTTAGTGGTTGAGTAGTCATGTCAATTAGTGAGAAGTTGTCAAAGTGATATCTAATCCTCTCTAATAGCCTGGTGTTCATTCCCTGTGTGTAGCTGTGAGTTTTTCGTTTGTATTCAGTCTCTTTAGTGAGCTACCTTGTGTACAGCCTATTCTCTGTCCCTGAAACCTGTACACAGTCTTGGATTATTTCTGTGTCAATACAAAACTAATCCACCCTACCTCTATTGTGTCTCTGAGCTAAAAGTTTAAATTGTCTATGATCCGCATGCTGTTTTGTCTTGTATTTTCCCTCTTGTGCTCTCCTATGGTGTGGCAGGTTTATGAGGTAAGATCAAACACTCTTCCCATACATTATTATTGCTTGATCAGATAGAGACGGTGAAAGAGTAGAAGTTTATAAATGCTTTTTTCTCCTCGACTCCCTGATGTGTCTGTGTGTTTCACTATGTACTCAAGTCTTTCACTTTTCTTCACTGCTCCCTGTTCCTCCCCCTGTCCCCGGCTGCAGCTGCGGAGCTCCTTCAAGCAGGCATTTGGGAAGAAGAAGTCGTCCAACTCTGCGTCCTCCCACTCTGACATCGAGGAGATGACCGACTGTTCCCTGCCCTTCTCCCCCAAGCTATCAGCATATAACGGCTCCACCGCCTCCACACCCATGCTCCAGAACTCCCACTCCAACTCTCTGTGAGTACCTGGGCCCAGACCAATAGACCATTAGACGCTCACCTGTTTATAACTGGGAGGAGATAGTGGATCATAATGGAGGCTCCCTGTTCCCTCAACTCAGGGGTTGGGAGTCAACTCAGGGGTCGGGAGTCAACTCAGGGTTCAGGAGGATCACATGACCATATTAATGATTACAACTGACTCCCATAGTGTCTGATACAGCTATTTTAACAGGTTTATATATACTATAGAAGTCTATATGTACAGTGTATATATATATATCCCAGTACCCGATATATCCCAATACCCCATATTCCAGTACCCCATATATCCCAGTACCTCATATAAACCAGTACCCCATATATCCCAGTACCCCATATATACCAGTACCCCATATATACCAGTACCCCATATATCCCAGTACCCCATATATACCAGTACCCCATATAACCCAGTACCCCATATAACCCAGTACCCCATATATACCAGTACCCCATATATACCAGTACCACAAGCATAGCTGTGTGTGTGTGATCATTAGAGACTGCATGGCCTCATTGTTTTAGTCGCTAGTTGAATGTTTGTATTGAACCTGTTCCTCTCTTATCCATCTGTCTCTGTGTGTCTCTAGCCCCATTCTCTCTCCCCTGCCTGTTAGTAGGCGTGGCTGCGGCGGTAGCACTGGGGTGTTGAGGACTGGGTCTCTGGCTCGGTAATAGAGTATGAATAACGTCTGAATAACCCGCATTCACTTTATGATTAATTCTGATGATGGATAATCCTAACAAATATCCTTGATGCACCAAGTGGTTATCTAACCAATTAATCTCAACTTCATCACTCGTGCCTGTTGTACTATTGAAACTGGAATGTTGAGCCAATCACACACATCCTTTACAGGACCTTGATCTTGTCCTGTTTACTATTGCCTGAACCCCTATCTACAACACAGTGATTCAGTGCCTCTGGATTAACTTGGAATAAGCGACAATAATTTTTGGCAGTGACAAAACATGTACTTGTACAGCATGTTACTGAGCTTTTGATCATTGTATGAAAATGATAATTGTCTGATAATTGTCTGCAAGAGAATATGCTTCATGGGATTTTCTGGGGATGTGCTCTTGAGGACTGGCCTTCTGTATAACCCTGAACTGACCAGACTGTCTATGTCTCGTCTGCAGGATCTCAGAGTACACAGACAGTGAGGCGGAGAAGGTGATGGCGCTCCACAGTGAGCTCCGAGACAAGGAGATGAAGCTGACTGACATACGCCTGGAGGCCCTCAGCTCTGCCCACCAGCTGGATCAGCTCAGGGAGTCCATGAACCACATGCAGGTGAGGGTGACCGCAATGTAACCACATATGACGATATGACCAATGACATAGGACATGATGAGGGCCTGGAGGTTTCCCTGACCTTGTGACCTGGCATTTTCCTGGTCAAGGTTTGCATGGTCAAGGGAAAACTCCACACCCTAGAAATGACCACTCAAACATTGTCCATCACAAAGCACATCAAATACACAGTGGTAAGATGCTTTGAGCTGTGTTTGACCTGGTATGTTCTAATTTGTCATCAGGGCGAGATAGAGAGGCTGAAGACCGAGAACGACCGTCTGAAGATGGAGAGTCAGGGCAGCTGCAGCAGAGCAGCCTCACAGGCCTCAGTGGCCTCACCCTCAGCAGGCCAGTCAAAGCACGGCCTTGCCCTAACAGAGTCCACCAGCCTCGGTAAGAGTGAGTGTGTGAGTAAGTGATCGAGGTGTGTGTGTGTGTGTGTGTGTGATTGTTTGAAGTCCGGTCTGCAGTAGTCAACATCTATGTCCCTGTCTCTGTAGACATGCTGTTGGAGGACAACGGGGACGGTAGCTCACGGAAAGAAGGACGACATGTCAAGGTGGTCGTAACTCTGGATGAGGATACCAAGTGGAAAGAGGTACGAAACTTCTTACATTTCCAACTCTCCAAAAATTACAATGGCTACCAAATAATGTATGACTGTGCCCATATTTGTCCTTAATATCATATCTTATTTTATAGGAGTGTAAACCTCGTCAGTTCCTAATTGGTTGCATTGGTGTCAGTGGGAAAACCAAATGGGATGTGCTGGATGGGGTGGTCAGACGTCTCTTCAAGGTAAATCAACAGACACAAAAAACTCTGGTAGAGGAGTGACTAATGACACCTGTATCTGATGTGTGATTGGTCCCTGTTCCTGTATCTGATTATTTGATTGGTCCCTGGTCTCGTATTTGATAATGTGATTGGTCCCTGGTCCTGTATCTGAGGATTAGATTGGTCCCTGGTCTTGTATCTGATGTGTGATTGGTCCCTGGTCCTGCAGGAGTACATCATCCACGTGGACCCAGTCAGCCATCTGGGTCTAAATTCAGACAGTGTTCTGGGCTATAGCATCAGGGACATACATCGCACCAGTGGGGCTGACACCCCTGAACTCCTGCCCTGTGGATACCTCGTTGGGGACAGTGACACCATCTCTGTCTCCCTCAAAGGTATGGGCAAGAATGGACCTCTGTAAAGTTTTGAAAATGAGAACTATGCCCCTATCACTCCCATTGTTTTTGTTAGTAGTCACTATTTAAATAAATCTGAGCCCTGTAATTAAAAGCTGTCTGGATCAGTCAATAACAAAACAATTAAGTGAATTTATAAAAAAGAAAGTTCACATATCCTTTAATGTGTTCTGTGCTGCCACCTGCCTGCAGGTGTGTGTGAGCACAGCCAGGACAGACTGGTATTTCAGACACTGATTCCCAAGCCCCTACTGCAGCGCTATGTGTCCCAGCTCCATGACCACGGCAGGATCATCCTGTCTGGCCCCAGCGGCACTGGGAAGAGCTTCCTGGCCAGCCGCTTGGCCGAACACATGGTGCTGAGGGAGGGGAGAGAGGTCACCGATAGGACCATTGCCACGTTCAACGTAGACCACAAGTCAAGCAAGGTCTGTCGAACACTATTATGACTCATATGTTGAATGTAGGAATAACCTTTACTGTAGGATTCTTTCTGTATGAGAGTGGAGGTGCCAGAATGTAACCCTTATGAGTGTAGCTATATGAGAGAGGAGATGACCAAATGGAAATGCTTATTCCCCTTACATTGGAACTGTTGGAGGATACAGTAATTGGAATAGATTAAATGTTTGATATGTCATTAGTAATGTATAGGTATCTGTGGTATTTTAGAGGCTGTATGGGGAATCATTGTGTGGTTAATGTGGAAATGTTAAACTCTGTTTGTTGCTGGTGTCCAGGAGCTGCATCAGTACCTGTCTAACCTGGATGACCAGTGTAATAGTACGAGTCATGTGGTGGACATGCCCCTGGTGGTCATACTGGACAACCTGCACCACAGCAGCTCCCTGGGAGAGGTCTTCAATGGCCTGCTCAGCTGCAAGCACCACCACTGGTCAGTACACACACACACACAGAGACGCACAGGCGCACACACACACACACACATATACACACACACACATACATACATACATACACACACACATACAAACATTTGTATTTGTGTGACACTCCTAAATCCTCAATTACTTGTTTTTTCACAGTCCTTATATCATTGGAACAATGAACCAGGCTACATCGACCACTCACAACCTGCAGCTTCATCATAACTTCAGGTACATCATATCCTATAATTTCTTATGTGTTACTGTCTTTTTTCAGTTAATAGGTAATGTGGTATGATGTCGTCTCCATTCTGAAATGTAAAATTGTATTTGTGTGACTTGTCATGTAGCCCCCACAAGAGGGCAGTATTTATAAATGGATTGATTGATATCTCAGTCCTCTGCCTAACCCTGATTAGAGGAGGTCTATTTGAACATTAACTGATAACCCTCTCCACTGTTGTCTGGTTCCTGTGTGGGTGGCCTGTCTAGGTGGGTGCTGTGTGCCAACCACACTGAGCCAGTGAAGGGCTTCCTGGGTCGGTTCCTGAGGAGGAGGCTGATGGAGACAGAGATCAGCAGCCGACAGCGCAACGCTGAGCTCGTGAGGATCATCGAGTGGATCCCTACTGTCTGGCATCACCTCAACCGCTTCCTGGAGTCCCACAGCTCCTCAGAAGTCACCATCGGTAAGATCCACTGAAAATCACATTCATCTTTTATTTTCTTCTTGTTTTATTACATTATCTGGCCAAGTTGTTTTTCATTATGACGTAAGAGATGGATGAATAGAATAGAATAGTTCAACTGTGCCTGAATGAATACATGCATTTATATTGTATATATGAAATTTGTCAATAGAGAAAATAGATATGGGACAGGATTGAAGGTTCTATTGAATGAAAGAGATGTTTTGTTGATGTTTGTCTCTCTATCTTCCTCCCAGGGCCCCGCCTCTTCCTGTCCTGTCCCATGGATGTGGAGGGATCCAGAGTGTGGTTCACAGATCTGTGGAACTATTCCATCATTCCCTACATGCTGGAGGCTGTCCGAGAGGGGCTGCAGGTACTGTAAAATGACATAACGCTGGAAATGTGGCATCAATTCACATTTGCAGTAGAACAAGGCCTTTGAATGATGGTTAGTAAACTAACACACAGATACAGAGAGATACAATACAATGCAATACATGCATGTATATAATAAGCCCTCACACATATATAAATATATATATATACAGTACCAGTCAAAACTTTGGACACAGCTACTCATTCCAGGGTTTTTCTTTTTTTTAAATATTTTCAACATTGTAGAATAATAGTGAAGACATCAAAACTATGAAATAACACATATGGAATCATGTAGTAACCAAATAAGTGTTAAACAAATCAAAATATATTTGAGATTCTTCAAATAGCCACCCTTTGCCTTGATGACAGCTTTGCACACTCTTGGCATTCTCTCAACCAGCTTCACCTGGAATGCTTTTCCAACAATCTTGAAGGAGTTCCCACATATGCTGAGCACTTGTTGGCTGCTTTTCCTTCAATCTGCGGTCTGACTCATCCCAAACCATCTCAATTGGGTTGAGGTCGGGGATTGTGGAGACCAGGTCATCTGCTGCAGCACTCCATCACTGTCCTTCTTGGTAGAATAGCCCTTAAACAGCCTGGAGGTGTGTTGGGTCATTGTCCTGTTGAAAAACAAATGATAGTCCCACTAAGAGCAAACCAGATGGGATGAAGTATCGCTGCAGAATGCTGTAGTAGCCATGCTGGTTAAGTGTGCCATGAATTCTAAATAAATCACAGACAGTGTCACCAGCAAAGCACCCCCACACCATAACACCTGCTCCTCCATGCTTTACGGTGGGAACTACACATGCGGATATCATCCGTTCACCCACACCGCGTCTCACAAAGACACGGCGGTTGAAACCAAAAATCTCCAATTTGGACTCCAGACCAAAGGACAAATTTCCACTGGTCTAATGTCCATTGCTCGTGTTTCTTGGCCCAAACAGGTCTCTTCTTCTTATTGGTGTCCTTTAGTAGTGGATTCTTTGCAGCAATTCGACCATGAAGGCATGATTCACACAGTCCCCTCTGAACAGTTGATGTTGAGATGTGTCTGTGACTTAAACTCTATGAAGCATTTATTTGGGCTACAATTTCTGAGGCTGGTAACTCTAATGAACATATCCTCTGCAGCAGAGGTAACTCTGGGTCTTCCATTCCTGTGGCGGTCCTCATGAGAGCCAGTTTCATCATAGCGCTTGATTGTTTTTGCGACTGCACTTAAAGAAACTTTCAAAGTTCTTGACATTTTCCGGATTGACTGACCTTCATGTCTTAAAGTAATGATGGACTGTCGTTTCTCTTTGCTTATTTGAGCTGTTCTTGCCATAATATGGACTTGGTCTTTTACCAAATAGGGCTATCTTCTGTATACCCCCCCTACCTTGTCACAACACAACTGATTGGCTCAAACGTATTAAGAAGGAAAGAAATTCCACAAATTAACTTTTAAGAAGGCACACCTGTTTATTGAAATGCATTCCAGGTGACTACCTCATGAAGCTGGTTGAGAGAATGCCAAGTGTGTGCAAAGTTGTCATCAAGGCAAAGGGTGGCTATTTGAAGAATCTCAAATATAAAATATATTTTGATTTGTTTAACACTTTTTTGTTAACTACATTATTCCATTTGTGTTATTTCATAGTTTTGATGTCTTCACTATTATTCTGCAGTGTAAAAAATAGTAAAAATAAAGACAAATCCTTGAATTAGTAGGTGTGTCCAAAATGTTGACTGATAGTGTATATATATATATATATATATATATATACTGTTTTTAAGGAAAATCACTGAGCATTTAGCATGATTCTAACCGAGTCATCTGTCTGTCTGTCGGTCTATCTCCTAGCTGTATGGGAGGAGAGCTCCATGGGAGGATCCAGCACAGTGGGTGATGGAGAGCTATCCCTGGGCAGCCAGCCCTCTGCAGCACGAATGGACCCAGCTGTTGAAGCTCCGGCCTGTGGACGTGGGATTCGATGGATACTCCATCTCCATAGACGGCTATCCCAGCAAGCAGCTTCCCCAGAGAGAAGCTGACGGAGACCCCCTGGTAAGTGAATTATAATCCCTACCTCATGTTAACATTTCTGACAATCTTTATCCCAAATATCAGTTGGATTTGGAAATATTTAAGAAAGTCTGTTTGGTATGGCATTACACAATAATCCTGTATGTGATGATGGTCTGAATGGACAACGGTTTGACTTGATATTTGTATCCAAGAACAAAGTGTTTCATTAAGGTGCTTTTAAAGACTATCTACTGTCCTACTGATGGCTTTATGGTTAGTATGAGTGTCTGTATGTAGGGGACAACCTATCTGACCTCTGACCTCTAATCTCCACAGATGAACATGCTGATGAAGCTAAAGGAAGCAGCCCACTGCTCCGCCAGCGCTCAGAGCTACGACAGCGACTCCAACAGCAACCAGGATCACCATGACAACACCATGCTGGACTCATCACTGGAATCCACACTATGAGTCTCACTGGGTCAGATAATACTCACTCTGGCTGGGACACATCCTAACTTGAGATACCTTTGTGTTAATCATCCATTGACATCAATGGGAGACTGATATGAGGTTATGTATTTCAAGTTAGAATTTTGACCTCTGTGACTTCATATCTTTAGGCAGACATTATATAATAGTTGGAACTCACTACTTTCCAAAAAGGGTTCTTCAAAGGGTTCTCCTATTGGGACAGCCGAAGAACCCTTTTAGGTTCTAGATGGCACCTTTTTTTTTTTAAGTGTGTAGGCTTTACAGGGCTATGCAATTCCGATCCTGAAGGGCCGAAACACTTCTGTTTTTTCATCCACTCCTTCTAATAAGGAACTAATTCAGACCTGGAACACCAGGTGAATGCAATTAACTACCAGGTAGAAACAAAAAACAGAAATGTTTCACCCCTCCAGGATGGGAATGTAATAGCCCTGGGCCATACTGGATGCTGGTAACCCAAAATGAAAATCCCACTCAAAGTTCAATAACCTGAATAATTTCAACTCAGTACTCTACTATTTTCAGTGTTTATTAGGAGTCTGTTTACAATCACGGGCAAAAGACAGTCAACCATTATAAATGAATTACATAGTTTATGAGACATCAAACCAGTTGCCTTGACTGTGACCTAACCTAGGCTATAGCTTATGTGGTCCAAACTGAGTAGCAATAACTGGATATACATTCAGTCAGCTGCATAGAGCTTGACCTGTGTGCATTTTCTTAGTGGAGAGGCACACACCATGGTGGACATCTTTTTTATGCTTAACTTTCAAACAATGCCTTGCTACTTTTATAACAACGGTGGTAACACGCATTGACAAAGCCTTTGATAAACTTTCTATAGAGGCTGTGCAGAGTTTAGGTGCTGGCTGCTAGCTTGTTCAGACTTTGATGAAATTAAAACACATCCATTCTGTGCAGCTAGTGGGTAGCAAAAATGTGTAGGCTTTTGTTAGGGATTTTTTGAAATCAGTGATACTTATAGGATTTGTGGTGCTCTGCTTGGGAAAATTTGAACTTATTGACAGGAAATGTTTTTTATATTACCTCATGAGTGTTTCAAACAGTATCCCAACAGTGCTTGTTTGTCTTTTGTTCAGCTCTAGACAGAGCTCCATCCCTGCATAAAATTTTTCCAACACAGTGTTTCTCTATATAGAGGCACTTTGGACATGTAGACCCACATCTGAAAGGTCCCTGGCTAGAAAAGGATCAGAGCGACTGCATGGCTTTGAGACAGAGGCTGGCGTGTCTAGTCGTTCACTCTGGAGATTTAGTGCCGGGACCATTTGCATCAAGTGTTAATGGGATCCTCAGTGTTGCTGTATTGGAGTGACGGCTTTATTCCCTCATAAGAGGTACCACTTTGGTTGCTCCCCCTCACAATGTCCCTATTATCTGCCAGTGTTGTTGCTGTTCATCCTCAGAGTGTTCTTAGAAACAAATGCTATGCAAATTTCATTTGGAATTTTAGACTGAAGCCCCCAAAAAAAAGTTTACTTGTATTTTTACGTATTACCAAGATTTGTATTGGAGGTACATTAATCTGTGAATATTTTTGGGAGGTTTGTATTTTCACTACCATATCTTACTGGAGTGTAAAGGGTGATGCAAGCACAAATAGAAAATGTTTTCTTTTGTCTTTTCTTGGTCCCACAAAGTTTGGATGTTGGAATGTTGTGAAAAAGGTGTGCTATTGAATCTAGTTGTTAATAATGTTGAATAATTCTTTGATATGTGAATTTTGCTTATGTACATTTTTTTATGTAAAGATGTAAATATTTTATCTGAATCCCACGTTTTGAAAAAAAATTCTAGAAATCTTTTACAGAACTAGAGAGTAGTAATTTGTGTACAGTTTGGTTTACTCTATAGATTGTATGTTGTTAATGTGTTGTCAATAATAGATGTGAATAATCATGAGACTGTGAGAATAAATCTGGTCACGATACTGTACTTTTCATCTTTTTTTTTTCAAAGAAATCCTCTAAATCCGTGTTTATTTAAGTTGTTTTAAATGGTAAAAGTTTTATTTGACCTCATATGTGATTTTAAATATTGTTCCGCAATGTTCAGTGTGTTAAGCCCAGTTCCATTGTCTCAACTCAGTTGCATTGTTGGAAATAACATACTTTTCTGTTCTTATTTAGGCTACCTATGTGACTGGTATGTCTTCTGGTGTATACCCCTATACCTGCCATCTGTACAGTAGAAGTGTGTACAACCACAGTGACTGCACCTTTTCATTGTCAGTTTTAAGGCAATGGAAGACAATACATTCTCTCATACTGGCCTGTCTTTCGTATAAGAACAGCATTGACACACCTTATCTATCGTTGTTACTTTTTGTAGTAGAAATACAATTAATCCTATTGACATTCAGTAATTATTTATTAAGTGTTATTGTGTTTTGTTGGACCATTGTCAAGAAAGCAGAAGATGTACTTTACATTTTCTAGTTTTATTTGAAGAAAATACTCTCAAAATACAAACAAATATATTTGTATGTTTAAGTTATACATTTAACATCTACATAGATTAAAGGCATTGCATCTAATGTAATAGCATTGTAGTCAGGTACAATCCTCTTGGTATAAAAATGTCCCTTACAAAATATTGTACAAAATATGGTACAAAGAGCTAAAGCTGCAAAAATACAGCAAATTTACTTAACAAGTACGGAAATATCTGCTACAACCAATATGACCCCCTACATTTAACATATAGGAGAATTGTTTATATCACAGACAAATAGGCTATGTGCTCAAATTAAAGAATGCATGGGTCTCATTTGGGTAGTAATGTCTATATACAATATATGTGACAATATACAGTATGTGTTTAAACAACTTTATATACGCATAATTTATATATTATGCACAGCTAAGACACTGTAATCTCTTCGTCCTCTGATTCTGAGAAGTCAGAGTGCTTGCTGGAGTTGCAAGGCGAAGAGAGGTGCGACTCCACACTGTTCAAAAGTTCGCGCTCTGATGGAGAGTGGCAGAAGGCTGAGCGCGGGCTGTCCGGCCTGAACGCATCCACCTCCTCCTCGCAGGACTTCTTCCCGACGTCACTGAGGTCCGGGTGGGGGTTCATTTTAGTTGGAAGAGTTTGTTCCCGGCAACCTCCGGACGACAACAACTCCCTCTCTTTGGAGTTGCGCCATTTCATTCTTCGGTTTTGGAACCATATTTTCACCTTGAAAAATACATTAAATATTATTAGGCCATCTAATAGGCCTAATGGTTGATTGTAATAACAATATTATGACATACCAGTAATAATTCCAAAATAGGCCTAGCCTATATTAAGATTATGTTTTATATTGATGTGGGCCTAAATGTCTATTCACTTTTAATTTTTTACCTGTGAGTCTTTTAGCCCAAGTTTTGCAGCCAGCTTCTTTCTGTCTGGTTTGCTGATGTATTTCTGTTTCTGAAACATTTTCTCCAGAGCTTTGCGCTGGACATCAGAGAACACTGCCCGTCGGAGCATCCCCCTCCTGGGCTTTCCTCTTGCAGCCAGCGGCCATGAAAAGGTACCAGGGATAGGAACCACTGAAGACGATGCTAAAATATTTTTTCAAACAACATATCATTAGCGTTGCATCATGTCAGGCAAGAAAACGCACACATAGGCTAAGTGAATGTGAAAGGAGGCTAGCCTGGCCTGTTTTCAGCGAGTGGGTGGAGGGGTTAAATGTGCATATAAGATCATGATTTCGTAGTTTAAAGCAAAGTCTCTCTTTAAGTTCCGAAATGCAGTCCGTTTGAGTGAGTTGGCACGAAGCAGCTAATTAGCACATTGCTTGGTCCCTTATAGCATTGGTATGGTAAAAAGGCAGAGTATCCCTTTCGAAAGCACCAATGAAAGATAGAGTAGCTAATGAAGCGTGAACGGTAATTGTGTAGTAATGAACTAACTGAAAAAAGGCTTAGGACAGGCGGCTAAAGCCATATATTACTGCAACAAAAGAGATCTACACTTTCAAACTAATCACAACTGCATGCCAAGATCATTTGGAGAATACTGATGGCTGGGCCCTATTTTTGCCACAGATCATTTTCATTAAATACGAAAAGCTATGAGGCTGAAGTTGTTTTGTTGCTCTCAAAAGAAGCGGTCTCTAAATCCAGATCTGCACCTTATCCATTTTAGATTATTCTTATCGGCTTTATTGTTGGCTATTCGAAAGACAAATTGTGTGTGAATTCACCATAACTGCGGGAAATAATAATCCTATATTCTTAATCTTGAAATATACTGTATAACAGATAGATAGCATTGTATCATTAGATTTTAATTGCACGACTCCAGGCTGCTGTGCTATCTATTGTTAGCTAACTTTAGATTTCTCACATCAGCACGATCTATAAACATGCATAACCCTCTATGTGGTCTTGTGAGAATATTGAAATAATGAATAGCCCCTAATGGGGAATTAGTCCATGACTGGTAAATGCCTATCAGCAGCATGTGTGTGGCTGCCCGGAGGGAGCTGACCAATTGGTCATGGTGCTGAAAGCATTGTGAGTTATCAGTAACTAAGTGCACTGGCTCGGTGGGAAAGAGAAGCAATGAAGAGACGCCAGCAGCTTCCTTGTGAGAGGGGATCCGCCTCAAATTTAGACCATGACAATCGCGGCTAATTTGTAGATTAGGGGAACCGGTGCAAAATGTCAGCAGTCCCTGCCTCTGCTAAATAGGGCATCAAATTGGCGAGACTGATTCCACGATGTTCTACGGCTTCCAACCTCTGAACTAACGGTTGTATTTCCTCTAGATTGAACTAGCGAATGGCAGATTGTTTTAAGGCGCAACATCAGTTGAATACATGGGGCATGACATAGGTTTAAGTGGATTTACCTGGAAAATATGATGCTCTGAGGAAGGGATGAAACGATCCGTCAAAATATGGCAGAGGGAAGGTTTTCCCGTGCATGGCATGATGCATTGAAGGTGTAGACGATGCTGTGATTCAAAATGAAAGAAAACATTAAATTAATTGACTGTCATTTCGTTTTGTCAAATCACATACGCCTAAAGTAGTGTGACACAGCCTCATAATGCGTAACAGGTGTCCTGTTTGTAAATGCAAAATAATTACGTTTTCAGTAGCCTATATATTCCCAATAATCTTACCGTTTCTCGTTTCTGGTGCTAGGATGGCATTAACTCCAAACTTCAAATAGTTAGGGTCGTTGTTGATGGAGAGTGAGGTCTGAGGAGAACCCGTTGTTGTCTGTGTTGGAGTGGTGATGACAGCTTGGTCAGTGTGGTGCCTGCAGGTCAGCGTGGTGGCTCCTGATCCCGTGGGAGACACGCTGGGTGACGGAATCGTCCGGTGCAAGTAGCTCACTGGCCGGCTGATCCGCAACAGGTCCTCCACCAAAAAGCTTGAGTGAGCGGCGAACGCCGAATGAAAGGACTGGGGCAGAGAATGAGCCGCCGGGTGTCGAAGTAGTCTGGGGTACATATCGGGAGCCGCAAGTGCACTAGGGAACATCATTGCTCCTTTTGGGTGGATAAGGAAAAGTAATTGTAAAGAGCCCTTTCGCACTGAATGACTTTCCCTCGCCTATAGGATCCAAGTGGAAAGACTCACAGTTCTCTTCTGGCCATTACATTTAGAATAAGCTTTTTATAGTGGACCGTTAGCAAAGCCCTTTCGAAACTGACAGTCAAACAATGAAGTTCAACAAAGTTCTCGACGTGAGTTTCTTTCAGGGGAAATTCAGTGCCTGCTGATTGGTCCGAAGAAGCAATTTATGATTGGATTAGACTTCATAAGAAAGCGCTAGACAAGGTCCTTTTAACAAAGAAAGTGTAGTCATCAATTTTGCACACTGACCACTTTTTGGTATAGTTTTCACTATGATAACGGTGGCAGCACACACAGATTAATTAAAATGCTATTTTTAAAGTACTCAGACAACGTTTGTTCGTGAATAGAGGGTTTATAAAAAATAATCTATTAAATACATTTGAGCACATAATAGCATAATGTGAGAATATGGTGATTGCCTAATTTCTATTAGGATGCGTTGCAATGTGAGACAATTTACATGACCACCAAAGTTGATTGTAAAATGCCATAATTGTAATTATTGATAAATATTATCTGCATTCACTTGTATTCAAAATATTGTTGTAATATGCTATTGTTGTTATTATTATTATTATTATTATTATTATTATTATTATTGCTATTATTAGGCTTATTTTTTTGTATGACCATTTTCCCTCGTAGCTCATTGAAACGGAGTATTATGAGCACAATATGATGAGCACAATATGTCGTCTGTACCAATCTGTTTTTCTCTGTGAAAATCAGACAGGCTTTAATGTCAGAATATTTAACTGGTGTGTTAAAAACTGTGGATCTGAGAGATCCCATTTCATGTCGCTGGTCCCGCTGAAAATAATGTGCAGCTCTGGCCATTGCGCTCTTATCCTCTTATCCATGAAGTAACTGTCACCCTCTCAACAGTTTTTTCTTTCTTACCCTGACACAAATCTTTCTGAAAAATCGTATTATTCAGTTTGATTTCAATGGGCGGTTAGAGTCTCATTCTTTAAGGGCATTTGTGCTGTAAGACACCAATAGATAAAACGGTCTTGAATTTAATGACTGCATTTATTCAAAATAACTGTTGTGTGCCAGTGTGTGCCTTGTAAATGTGTGTCCTATTTCTTGAAAGACCAAAACAGGGAAGAAAAATAAGCACTGAGCCTACCTGCAATTAGATGCCTATTTATATTTTAACAGTCACTAAAAAGCTATTTAGCCTAAGGGATGAGAATGAACCCTGTGATTTCTCTATAAAGAAATGTAAAGACATTTCATTTTAAAATTCATGATAGGCCTAGTTATGTAGGCCTAATAATAAATCACAAATAAACCTGGTGGTATGACAGCTATAGTTCACATTGATGTCATTAAATTATAATTATAATAATAATAATAATAATAATAATTATTATTATTATTATTGTTATTATTATTATCATCATCATCATCATCATCATCGTTTTTAAGAGTTAAAATTTGAGGGCATGATTTTTTGGTAACACTTTATTTTAAGGGTCCATAACAAACCATTTATAAGGCATTTATAAAGTGTGTGTTCACTATTTATTAATCATTACGCCAACATTTATATACCTTTTATTAATCATTAGTAAAGTATTTTTTGCAGTCCCTATTCTAAAGTGAGCGATATTTATACTTTATAAATACTTTATAAATGTTTTGAGGGACCAGTGACATTTCTCAACAAAAGATGGGCGTGCCATTGTAGACATTCCAGCAGTACCTTGTAAAAAATAAGCACACAACACAGGATTTAAGGAAATACATATACATAGGCCTATGTGAATGACAAGCATACTAACATTTACAAATGTGGGAGAAATTATTGATACATGGTGAGCAAACTGTTTGTAAATGCCTTATAAATGGTTTATTACTAATTAATTAATTAATTAATTACTGACCCTTAAAATAGTGTTACCGATTTTTTTGTTTTTTATTTTACAGGCGCAGTAAGTTTCTTTCCACGGTAACTGCCATTAAAACCGTAGCAGCATTGTTTAGAGGGCTAGGTCAGACCCAAGCGGTGCTACACATGGGTTCACTTTATTGTAGCCTAGTAGGTCTATGTCAAAGCAAAAACTTTTAGGATAGGTTGCAAACCGCAGGAGGAAAATGATAACCGCCCATTGATGAAATAGATTATAAAACAGGGGGGAAAGTGAACAAAAGAGTTTCTTTGAGGAAGATTCTATTTCGGACTTCTTTTCTGTGATCGGCTAGGAGAGGTGAATCCTGAGGCCTGTTGGCTAAGACCTGTGACTAATGGCGTTTGACCGCTGCTCTCTCTGTTTTGTTCTCCTAACCATTCATTTTAAAGTGGTTACCTTCACATTTATTTCTGGAGTCAACTCTTCTGCTTTGAAAGTGCGGGGAAGGTAAGCCCGCGTGTGTTCTAAGTGATGGCACAGAAGGCAAATCTCCATGAAATTATGCGCCAGGCGCTTCCCATGAAAATAGATGCATGGTAACCATGTCCATTACTAACGCAAAAATGAATTGTCCAAATTGTTGTATATATTTTACAAATGATCTCACACTAGTAGGCTCCAACTAGCCATCAGTATTGCATGTTACCCAAGCATGGTCGAGTGAGTTGATCTAGGCTATTTATAGGTGAATCCCATTTGGGCTGTGGATCTTTTATGCAAAAGCGCCCTGGCAATAAAAACATTGTTAGCAAAACTTCCACATGAACACAAATAAAGCCTACTCAATATTTTCAGACCATTGAAGACTGTATTTATTAGGGCAGAGCAGAGTCTAAACTGTAGGCCTACGTTTATGGTGTGAGGTTCATGGTGTGTGATGGTCATATATCAAGTTAGAATGCTATAGCCTCTATTCATCGTGCCTTGTCTAGCACTTTTCAGATGGTGTCGGTATTTAGGCCTTTTACCTGTTATAGGCAAATAATTTAATTATGAAATAAATACAAATATTCATAGGCTGAGTAGACTAATTACTGTAACATTCTTGAATTTAAAAAAATATGCGTAGAGACCCTCCATGGAGAAGAGGGTCATTTTACAAATGACGTTTTAAAAAAATGTATAAGCCACTTAGCTTAAATAGTTAACGTCTGAGTAAACAGGCAAGTAATTACATAACCGTGAAATCATACAATGTTTAACTAAATATATTGATAATTAGATTTGCATTTGATGTCTCGCCTGGGGCACCCATATTAAGACACCTTAACACAGCACCCACCTTCACAGAAAAAAACATCACTGTTAAGTTCAAAGCGTTTTATTATTTCTGGAACCTTCGAAAATCCCCCTATTGTACAAATCAAGCAGATGGTTTGCAGGAAATATAGCTTAGCCCCAGTGACCGAAACTAATTTCTACTAGCTTTCCAAGCCTGGCACGATTGTTTTCTCTTTACCAAATATAGGCTAGAGAAACAGCTGGTCGGTCGCTGAATTAAACACATTTAAAACACATTTTTTCAGATATTATATCCCCCTAGACTGTGCACCCTCACCACCCCACCCTTGTCCGTTGACACAAGAGGTGGGTGCATTGAAATGAAAATGATACAGTCGTTAACACCGCCGCAAAATCTTTGAACCGTTTCCTAGATTCATTGTTTTATATTCAGGTTAATGATGTACATTTGTGAAAATGTTAATTCAAAATGTATGGCCTTCTTGCAACCTCTTTTTTTTGCCTAAGGTATAGTACTCTTTACCTGACTTTCACTCTGCCATTCTATTCAATATATTTAACAGTATTTAGTGAGCAGATACTGTAGATAGACCCATCATTAGTATTAAGATAAATTCTATTAATTTTTCCTTTAAAGCAATAATAAGTGTTTTTGATCATTTCATTGCAGACTATGACAACATTCAGAGAAATTGGCCCATAGGCCTACCACAGCATCGTTGAAAGTTATGCTGTTAAAAAATAACTTGTTCCTGGTTATATATTTAAAAGGGAATCATCAATTTCAAATTTTGTTTTTACATGGTCTATTTATTTTACACGCTGCTTTGGAGATGGCTGGTCTTTACACCTTCTATAAACCTCCTTCTTGAGTGGTGCTCTCCCTCTTCAAGTGTGGCTCAGCAGCTGTTTCTGACTAGGATCCGGCCACTGCGGAACATTGAAGGGATTAGGAATGGCCCAAGACACAGAGGAGCTCTGACAAGCATTAAATCGATATTAACTTTGCATTAAACATAACCCCCCGTTTTCAAACGGAGAGAGGCACAAGTCCACGGACAAAGCGTTTCAGTGTGTGTTGCTCTCAATGCACCTGTTCCCCAACTTACTTGGCAGCCAATCTGTGCTAATGACGGGTTTCTTTTGAACCTACACCAGTGTCAGTTAGTCAAACCTATGTCTGGTCAAAGATTCATAATGATGTTTTGCTTAGTAAACTACTACAGGTTAACTACTAAATATTTACTACTTAATCAATATATTGTCATAGCATCAGGTTATTGTCTATCTGACCTCTGCATGATTACAATGATGGGAAATTGGGCATCTTACCTTGTCATGATGGCTACAATAATTGTGAAGTATGAGGTAAAAGCCCAACTTTTATGAGTTGGAGGTTGTCAACAATTATTGACCAATTAAATGTTATATGCTTCCACAGGGAAAGAAATAAGACCTATGCTATATTCTAGCAACATTGGTCAGGAATATGATATAGCCCAAGATAAAAATGTCACATAAAAATGACACCGTAACCTTTGACCTACTCCAGAGGACTGAGATGTTTTGGAACAGATATGGCCACCTTTGTGGATATAATTGTAATCTTACCATAAGCAATAGTGGATACCTATGTGTCTATAAGTGCCAACTAATCATTTATTTTGTTCCTTTGGTAAAATTTTTTGGATAGTCCCAAGTAGATGGTTTGTAGTTGTTCAGTAGATGTTCAATAACTGTCAA